TCCCATACAATATCTGTCCAAAATAAGCGATGCTTCTTTCCGTTCCTCATCGATATACAGCTTTACCATTTCATACCAAACAGGAATCCTAAAATTTAAACTTAATCTAAGAGTTTAGAAAGTATTTTAAAGATATCGCTGGATCTTTATTCTTTACTCTTCTGCCCTTCCGGAAAGAGAAGGCAGCCCTCTGCCTTATGGCCACGTGTCCCGCTGCTTTGAAGATATGGCTAAATCCTCAGTTTCCGCTCTTCTGCCTCTCCGGTAGGGGGAGAACAACTCCCTCCGTCTTGTAACCAAGTGAATTGCTGCTTGTCTTTCCTTCACCTTGTCTTTCCGCATTTCCGAGTGAGTCAGGAAGCCCCGCCTTCAGAGTTTTATAATAAAAGTCAGATTAAGGTATCCTCAACAGATTTTTGAGGATACCTTAAAGACTAGAAGAACAATCTTATATCCTGCTGAATTTAATCACATTTATTCAACAATGTTGTATCCACATGGATGCCAAGGGCCAGTAGTAGGAGCATTGCATGTAATAAGACTAATTTGGGCCGATATTGTTTCATCTAATCTCATAAGCCTTTTCTTCCCTCATCATAATGATGTTCTCATAACTTATATGAGGCCATGTTCCAAATAGTTTTTAATCTCTTGTCTGTAAAAAACTTCAGCAATTTTATCCATGTAAAATAAACCCCTTTGTGTAAAGGGTGTGATTTTGACCCTATATGGAATTATCTAAATGATAGATATCTCCCTTGGAGATAAAATAGCCCAATGGTTTAATTCAGAGGAAGGAAGTGCATACTTTTTAACCCTCTGTAACTTTAGGGCACACTCAAACTCAACTATCTCAGAAGGCAGCAGAATATTTGATGTGTATCTTGATCTCAGAGCTAAGCTCCAACCTTTTGTAATAAAGGCAGTGGTACCAAAGCAGCATTGGAATACTATGCTATCTCTCTGAAGGCCAATTCACCACATTCTACCTAAATTTTAAAGGAGCAGAAAAGGTAATATAACATTCTGCCTAAAAAGAAAAAAAAAACGTCCCTATTCTGGCATATTTTAACAAATTGTTTATGTAATGCATTACACAACTGCATTGTACAGTTAGTCCTTGACATAACAGTTCATTTAGTGACTGTTCAAAGTTACAACAACACTGAAAATGTGACTTATGACTATTTTTCATAGTTACGACCTTTGTAGCATCCCCATGATTGTATGATTAAAATTCAAGTGCTTGGCAATTAGTTCATATTTGTGACCTTTGCTGTGTCCCAGGGTCATGTGATCACTGTTTGTAACCCTTCTGAAAAGCAAAGGGGAAACCAAATTCACTTAACAGCCAGGTTACCAACTTAACCAACTGCAGTGATTCAGTTAACACGAAAATTGACAAGAAATCTATGGCAAGAAAAGTCAGAGTAAAAAGTAAAATGGGGCAAAACTCATTTAACAAAAGTTTCACTTATCACTGGTTAGAATGCAGTACTGCAGGTTAACTCACTGCTCACTCCAGGAGTTTGAATCTGACAGGCTCAAAGTTGACTTAGCCTTCCGTCCTTCCGAAGTTGGTAAAATGAGGACCCAGTTGTTGGGGACAATACGCTGACTCTGTAAACTGCTTAGGGTGGTAAAACACTATGAAGTGGTATAAAAGTGCATTGCTATTGCTATCCATACTCTAACATCTATGTGTGGATATATCTTTATTGTCAGTCCCTCCGTGACACACACACCCCTGACAAATGCAAGGAAGTAAAAAGAAAAAAAATCTTAACCAGCTTAACATGGTAAAGCTCTGAGAGTGACACTATGCCCTCTGAGCTAATTAGATCCAATATAATTGGTGGGCCCTGCATTGTCCTTTCTTTTCATACATAGACTAAGATCCCAGAGGGATCAGAGAGCTATAATAGTTCCTTTATATAAAAAGGGTGACAAAAATAACCCAGCTAATTATAGGTCCATTAGTTTATTGAACATCATTAGTAAACTATATGCCTATTACCTATTCACCAAACTTCAAACCTGGTAATAGATGAGGGAATAATCAACCCTGAGCCAGCAGGGTTTTTACCAGGATGATCTGCTCTAGACCTTTGCCTAGTGCTTCAACATCGAGCAGAGAAATCTACAAACCAGTCTGGTTTCAATCTATATGCAGTTGTCATTGACTTCAGGACAGTATTTAATAATATCTCAAAGATTAAACTCTGGGACATTTTGAGCAGATCCTTTATAAACAAAATACTCTTTACTGCTAATATATAAGATATATGATAAAACTGGCCTTTGAGAAATATGTAGCTGAGAAGGGGATCTTTCTGATTTTATTCAGCTTATCAATAAGGATGTAAACCTTTTAGAAAATTGATATCCATGGGCTTAAATTACCTTATAAACTTCTCCAAATTTTACTTTATGCTGAAGATGCATTTCTTTCATTGTCTTCTGTAGGCATGAAGCAGGCATTAAGAACCCTGGCATCTTACTTTAAATGGGGAACAATTAGTTAACTATGTTAAATCTAAGGTTTTAGGTTTTTCTAACAAAAAGACAGAGGCATACGTAGACAATCAATTCTCATGAACTAGAACAAGTTAGATGTTTTAAATATTTGGGCATAATATTTCAGTTCAGGCCTCTAAGTTCAAGTAAATTATGCCATTTCTGCAGACCAGAAGATTGCATCAGCAATAACAAAATTTTATAGGCAATAGGAGCTAAATTACATTTCAATATCAATCAAACTGTTTATCACTAAAATAGTTGCAAAAATATTATATAGGATACAACTTGGCACTTCTATAAACCTGTATGAAACCAATCAATTTCCTTAGGACTTTGTTCAGCACCCCAACATGAACTCCTAATGTACTCTTGAGGCTTGAAACTAAGATCCTAAGCATTAAGGCTCAGGCCTAGACCAGGATTCTAATCTCAGGATTCAGAATCATGTTTGACCCTACAACCCTGTTGCCTTTGCTGTTGTAAGACAGCTACCAATCTCATTGACACTGAAGCTGTCAAGAAGAATTCTACTGCCGAATGCTAGGTAGCCACCTCATTCTTCTGCAGCATATTTATACAATCTTTTATCCTAAGCAAATATAGATGGGCCCTTTTCAGCTTGATCTCTCCCTTCTGAACTGCTGGCAAGAATATTTCATGGAACTACTTATATACAGAGACTTTGTTCCTATGGAACCAGGGATGTAGAAGCTCTTGTCCCTGTCCTCATACAATGCCCCTTTTATAATGCCCCCAAATATACTTTGAACTCCCCATTTGTTTATAAATTTGAGGGTCATGCTGATAATTTGTATGGGTTTTTTTTACTTTTTAAGGGCTGCTAACTCAACACTTACATACCAGATGGTCAAACAATTTCATTAAGTCATAAAATTACACATTTATAAAAAATTAGATATATTCCATCATTGTCTTATCGTATTTCTTCCCCCCTGATAATGTATTGCTTTTTCTCTTTTCCTACTTTAAAGGTAGGTCAAAGACCATAATAAAGTGATTTGATTTGATTCATATAAATATTATCTGTCTATATCCCCTTCATGTTGATTGAGAAGGTTTCCAACATTTTGAAGCAAATTTATGGAGACTACAAAGAGCAGTAGAATAAAAAAAGAAAGTGAAAATCAGTTTTTTCTCTTTCCCCATTTTATGAGCAAGAACTACTTTTATAGGAAGCTGAATTATGCTGAGGCAGATCATTATTGCATGTGGTTCATTAATGGCAGCAGGATTTATGCAAGCAACACATTAATATTTTACTTTCAAGATAGCATTATATTTAGACATCTGTATTACTTTTATTAGTGTATTTATTGATTATTGTATAGTGGAGTTTGATCACGAAATTGGGTCATCTCAATATTAGATTTTCTAGATTTACAGTTTAGTTCCTTGTGGGATTTTCAGCACTCCTTACTAATGACATGTGTAATTTACAGAAGCTTGATTTAATAACTTAAAACATTATTTTGACAGCTATTGCTTATGTATTGATTGGCAATGGCCTTTATGAGGAAGCAATACACCACTTTTCAACAATGCTTCAGGTAACCTTTTTACATTTTTATTCAACTTTAGTAAAAGAGTTTCTCCAAAAAGACAACTTCCTTGGAGAAGATTAATAGAGGATAATGTAAACTTAATATGCAAAACATAGGTTTTTAGGGTTGAATTAGCATTTAAAATGTAATGCATTCTCATATTTGGGCAAAGGACATTGTGTGCTAGAAATGCTTGGTTTCAGTCAGGGAAAATATAGCTCAAAAAAAATTATAGGAAATAATTTTTATGGGTGAAATACAGTGACATCTTTCTAATGAAAACAGTTTTTACTTGTAGAATTGAAGTATCTATTTACACCTAATAGTCTGCAGTAGAGTTTGAATATTTATTTGGAGTTACAGGGCATTTCAAATTTGGGAGAGAATGAAGGAAAGTCTTTTTGTTTAAATAAGTGTCATTGAAAATGTCATATTTGAATATACAGTTGCTTTTGACATTAAGAGTACACAACCATTTAGAGTATCAAGGGTGGCATGTGTTGGTAAATGGTGGTTTGGTATATGCACATCCATGAATATGAAGATACAAGGTTACTTAAATCATTATAAGCTGTATCTATGATAATTTATTACTGTTTTATTATATGGTATTGTTATATTAATACCACAGGAAAGTTATGAAAATAAAAAAAATGTTATGAAAGCCCTTAAAATTAAAGCTAATTTTAACAACATGAGAAAAAGTTGCAAGTAGTTCTGGGCTCATCTGTGTGAACCCCTAAATAGCGATATCAGGGATGGATTTATTTTTAGTTTGTGTTAAACGTCTTAGTTGTAGAATTTGCTGCTAAAATACATGCACCACAGTTATCTAAAGTCTATTTTATTTTGCTCTGCCAAGGAACAACCAGAGCTCATCAGTGCAATTTATGGACAAGGGATAGCATATGGAAAGAAAAGGCAACATGTGAGTAGTTAATATATTTGAAGCAGCTGTCACTAATTACAGTCCATTTTCTTGGAAGTATGTAAACGCTTGTGAATTCAAAATGTTTGAAATGGATTATTCTCTGCTTATTGGAAATATTCAATATTTCCGACTATTCTGGAAATGTTCCAAACACAAAAAACCTGATGATCACAGCCACACTTAGGGGTGCCCAGAACATTTCAAGTCAGGTCTTTCAGACTTGAAACATACTTCAGTCGAGGTTTTTGTGAAGCACTGCACTAACTGACCTTACATACAGTATGTGCATCAGCAGATCCAGAATAGGGGCAGTTTTGCTGAAATCCTTGGAAAAAGCTTCATTTTTCAGTTTGGCTTATAAATACCCTGGGCCAACATTATTGCATTTTGGAAGATTGCATCCCTTTGAGGTGAGATTAGTTCTGACCTTGTTGGTCTTCCAGGAGAGCCTGGAGACATGGCATTGTCATCTGGAATCCAGTGATCTTGGTAGGGAGTCTGGTAAGTGTTTATACTGTTAGAAAAACGAATGGTGTTTTCCTACAGCTATGTTTTTGTTTTTTAAAAAATATTTTTATTGTTTTTATGGTTAATCATTTTTGTGGTTACTTTTTGGTTCAGTTTTCATTTTTGTCTGGATTTTTAACTTTGTAAGCCACCCAAAGTCACAGTTGTTTTAAATTTAAATTTAAATCTTGAATCAGTATAAATGTAAAACTTGAATCAGTATAATTTCAAGTTATGTGGTAAGTTTTCTCTCTGGATTAATACTGAATTAATATTGAGGTTTTAAATAAAGTAGGATAAAAGAGCAAAAAAAGTAGAGGCTATGTAAAGTAATTAAAAAATATTTCCATTTGTGGTTCTTTTAGGAGTCCAAAAGAAAATGCAGAATGCTTTCAGATTACAGTTCTGTTATCTCTGTGTGAAAAGTTGGTCTTTTGACTTGGTGCAGAGTGAGATCCTCTGCTGCCTTGAATTTGAAACTGGCATAACATTCCTTTAGAAACAGCCATATTTTATGCACGCTTTTTCTTTTACACAACCAAAATCATTGTTTACCCCATTTTCTGATTTCAAAGTATATATATATGGACAATATGTTGGAAATGACCCAGTGAGTTCTGGAGCTCCAATTCCGTAACCAAAGACTTAGATCGAAGCATTACTACTTTCATCTTCAAAATATTGTTGACAATGGATATAAAAAAGAAATATTTCAATGGAGCTATATTTGTCATATCAAAAGCTCCTTTCTTTTACTTACATATGAAACCAGCTGGTTTGATGCCTTTGGTGTTGTTCATTCTAAACCCTCTGAACTTAACTTCACTTTGATTAAACTAAATATACCAAAGCTTATATTCATTATTTTCCAGGATATTAAAAATGCCGAGCTTGCTTTGTTTGAACTAAACAGAGTAATTAATCTGGCACCAGATCATCCTGAAGTGTTTGAACAACGAGCAGAGGTACTTTTCCTGTTTTAAAATACTCTGATGTCTACATTTTTTCCTCATTTTTACATTATTGAAAGTTCTTTATTGTTGAAAATTATTGTTTTAAGTCCAGTGTAACTTTTGTGTGCAGTTTATGCCATCTATTTAATTCAAAGGGTAATAGTGTTCATTCAGCTTTGGTTACACAGTACCCTATACAACTATCAATAGATTAAAGATAGTGACAGTTGTTTGGGTGAAAAATAGGCAGAGTCTAACAGAGAAGATGGGAACCAGCTAAAGTTGATTTTCTCACAATATTAATGTTAAATACATTTTAGGCATTCAAACAATGTATTATAATTATTTTGCAGCTGAGCATAGTGAGGTATATAGTTTACCTTAGTATTTATTAGATGTTTAAAACTATTGTAGTCTTGTATCTCTCAGCCATTTACAGAAATACCATATACAACATCACTATATAAACTAAAATAGTGACACCTTAAAAACATTTAGGAGAGTAGGTTAATAGGTCAGTGCTGGGAGAAAATCAGTCCTTACCTCCATCCAAATTCTTCATTTAAACCAAATTGAAGATTGCCTCAAACTGATTATTAAAAAAATGGTTAGATTGTTATTTTGGGAGTTTGGGCTTGGATGTATAGTGTAGGTATTTTGTGTTTTATTTAAAATGCTGTGAACCATTGTTCTTTTTATATGGTATGTTTGCTGCCCAGAGTTTTATGGATAGATGGTCAGTCTTACAAATTTGAAAATAAATGCAAAATAATATAAATCAGGGATTTCCAAACTGCTGGAGCACAAGAGTAACCTCTTGGTCTTTTTTTTTGTTAAAAAAAAATGAAACAGGAATCATGATGCTAGTCTGTAAAGAAGAAAACTATTGCTCTAGCTTTGTCATTAAGAATAATTGTTTGCCCAATAGTCTAAAATGATAACATAAAACAGATATGTCCTAAGTAGCACAAAAGAGCTATTCTGGTGCTGGAGGAACCAGGCAGAAAGTTCCTTCTGGACTTCTGGACATTCTACTTGGCTTAGTCTATGAAGAATCCTGTGTAATAAGGCAGAACCAAAATGACAAGATAAATCAGAGAGAGTAGAAAGAGCATTCAATAAGCAGTACTGTTGCTGAGTAAAAAAGACTGACAAACTACAGGTAGTCCCCGATTTACAACAGTTCATTTAGTGACCGTTTGAAGTTACAACAACACTGAAAAAAGTGACTTATGAACATTTTTCACACTTATGACCATGGCGGCATCCCCATGGTCAAGTGATCAAAATTCAGATGCTTGGCAACTGATTCAGATTTATGACGGTTGCAGTGACCTGGGGACATGTGATCACTTTTTGTAACCTTCTGACAAGCAAAAGTCAATGGGGAAACCAAATTCACTTGACAACCATACTAACTTAACAACCATAGTGATTCATTTAATTGTGGCAAAAAAGGTCATAAATTGGGACAAAATTCACTTAACAAATGTCTCATTTAGCAATAGAAATTTTGGGCTTCATTGTGGTTGTAAGTCGAGGACACCTGTAATTTCTTTGGACTAGAAGCTCTGAACTTGAACAATACTGACAATTTGTTGGGGCGGTTGGAAGGAGTGATGGTCAGGGGTGGTAGCTGTGTGTTTTGGGTCTAGCAGGCAAGTGTGACCAGCCCATCATCTTTATTTTCAAAAAAATATTTTTATCCTCCCTTTATTACTTTTATTATTATTATGTATTTGTTTTTTTATAAATAACTCAAGTTGGTGAATATACACAATATATTCTTCACCTATTTTCCCCCAAACATCAACACTGTTTAATAGATTGGTTGAGAGAAAGTGACTGGCTCAGAGTTACCCAGCTTAGTAACCCATAGTCTCCTACTTTCTAGCTTGGTGCCTCAACCACTAAACCAAACTGGCTCTCTCATTAAGAGAACACTTTCATCTGTCCTGTTCTTTGATGATACCAAAATTGTAAACTGGAGAACCAGTTTAATTAGAAATATTGGGCAAACAAACCAACCTTCAAAGAACATGTAAATGTAATTCCTTTTTATGCGTCTTGTATATATGAAACTGTGTGTGACAAATGCAGCATGTTTTATAATTTTTGCCCACTTGAGCTTGGAGTATTTGGAAAATAAATAAATAGCCTTCATTTAGGAAGGGAAGTAATAATTTTTATCTCACACTGCACAGTTAATGAATTATTTGAACATTACTTGTGTTCTGTGGGTCACCAAAGATGAAACTAACTGGAAAAGGTTAGCACTGTTCAGAAGTTAGAGATTCAGAATGTTTGTTCAGGTCCAATTTTTATTCCCCATGACCTAGTGCTTCATGATTAAATCGAATCCTTGCTAGGCTAAAATATTATTTTGAATTTATAGATACTGTCATCTTTGGGTCGAATTAGTGAAGCACTGACTGATATCACGAAAGCTATTCAGCTGAAACGCTCAGCGCAGCTTTATCGACACAGAGGTATTCTTTACTTCATATCTGAGGTAAGACTTCAGTCCCTCATAGTACTGAACATTAGACTCCCAAACATGTGAAAACAACTTTACTAGAAAAACTTGATGAATTAGCTCTCAGTATTTTAAAAGTTTAAGGAGTAATTTATACCATTAGGTGCTGCAATGAGGTCACTCCCACAAAACGTCTTTGTTATTAGTGTACTTTTTATAAGCAGAGATTGTTTTTTTCTGATCCCATTTATTGAATTACATACGATTTGTTTTATGCACATTTTTACAAATACATTCCAGTGGTTTTTATTAGGAAATCAGACTTACTGAATTCAGCAGGTCTTATATTAAGGAAATCTAGTTTAATTTTGCCTAGTTGCTGTGTGATTGGTAGTTGTGCTTTTGTTTTAAGAATTAATATTGTGTAGGTCATAATATGAGTATTACATGGTATATTTTGAATTAGTTCTAGATTTTTTTCTCTATCTGATGACAGCTATTTTTCTACAATAGGACTATGCAACAGCCAATGAAGATTTTCAGAACTCTCTTGAGCTGAACAAAAACCAGCCAACTGTTATGCTTTACAAAGGTTTATCCTTTTTTCACAGAGGGCTTCTAAAGGTATGGAATTCCTATCCTATGTTTCCACAAATGCAAAAAGTTACAATTATGCTGCTCAGGTTGGTTGGTTTGGGAATGGTTGGGTTAGAAAAATAAACAGAAAAACAGACTTGTTTTTATATGGAACCATACCAATGCTTAATTTAGCCAATTGTTATTGTTTTTTCAAAAGTCAGTGGCTGCATATCATTACGAAGCCATAACTTGGCTTATTTGGCTTTGCCTTAGTACTACATAAGGACCAGATTACAATAAATTTTAACAAGTTATGGTTAACACAAACCATGGCTTAGTGTGCATCAATCCAGTTCTTGTTTCTTCTATGTATTTTCTTAATGTTTCTTGAGTTCATATATCCTGGAAATTCTTGGGCTGAACCTGGAACCTCATGTTTGCAAACCCATATTCTGATCTTGAACTCTGTCTCTTGTCTAGAGTTTAATACTGAATTATTATCTGTTTTCATGTTTGTAAATTTATCTGAAGATAAAAAATGCTTGTTTTCACTTATAGGAATATTTTAATGTCTCTTGTTTTTGTCATATGTCACTTAACAGCCTAGACTTTTTATTTTTATTTTCGGTTAACTGATTATTACAATGTCATCGGTATCTTTCCTCTTTACAAACCATTGAAATTTCTGTCACTGAACAAGCTGATTAAAGGCAGGCTGCCTTATTTTCTTTCATTGTACTTAATGAGCTTGAAAATACTTTCATTAGTCCTGACTGTCCTGCTTTATATTTAATTATATTACTTGCAGCATGGTTGGAAATTAATATCGAAGACTTCTGAAATTTAAGTAATTATTTTAATTTGTGCCTGAGATTTATTATGCCTTTTTTTTTTAAAAAAAAAGGCCAAGTTGTCATCTCTATTTTTGGGCCTGAGGGACGCTATTAAAATATTTCTGACAGATAAATTTAGAAGTCTATCTTTTTTATCACATAGGCTGTTGTCTAATTTTAGTTCTTTGTTAAGTTTACTATGTGGTTGCTAGACTACTTGATAGATACTAGTCTTGTACTCTGTCTTATAATGCTTGCATGATATGGTTTCACACAGGTTCTAAAAAACTGAATATTTTGAAATGGTTTGCTTTTTATTAAAATTAATTCATACATAGTATATATAACAGGAATTATAATCTTCCTAATAATTCCTGTCAGAAAGTAATTGTCCAGATCTTTCATCCAATATGTATGTACTCACTCACTCATTCTAAAAGGTGAATAGAAATAATGGAAGTAGTTCTGTGTTGTGCTTTTCACAGGAAGCTATTGAGATATTTAAAGAAGCCCTGAAGCAGAAATCAGACTTCATAGATGCCTACAAAAGTCTGGGCCAGGCTTATCGGTAAGCAGCTTCAAAATTCTCTTAACTTTAATGTTTCTCCAGTTGGGGTGGGGAGAGACAACCCAATAAAGCATTCACAAATTGGGTTTATGGAAAGGGGCATTTTTGAGCAAGGGTGCAATGCTTGCTAGATGTCTCAAATGTTATAGTTTTTCTGTCGAACATTATATCATATAACTTTTTAATAATCATAATATTGATTATTTTAAGCCCTATTTTAATAAATCCCATTTTAAAAATTTGCCAGATAAAAGTACTAATTTGCTGTTGATTTTTTATCTAATTGCTCAATAAAATAATTAGAGAACTTGGTAACTTTGAAGCTGCAGCTGAAAATTTTCAGAAGGCATTGATGCTTAATCAAAATCATGTCCAGACAATACAACTTAAAGGAAATATGTTTTATCATCATGGAAGCTTGGATGAAGCATTGAAAAACTTTAAGGTAAAGTTGGCAAAATTGGAGTATATTATAAAAGTTCTGTCATGTTTGTTTATAACATCCCTTTGGAGAAACTGCAAAAGATGATAAGAACCAAAATTGATATTAGCCTATTGGATTTGATTTGATTCATAATCAATCTGGCTGCTGTATTCTCCACTACCTGCAGCTACTGATGCCTCTCCAAAGGTATCTTCCTAGAGAACACATCACAATAGTCTAGCCAAGTAGTGATGAAGTGTGAGTTATTATCACCAAGGCATCTTAGTCTACTTGGAGTTATAAGTAATGTACAAGTGGCACTGGGCAAGGCCTTTTCTAGCCATGGCTACATTCTGCCATCTAAGAAAGAGCTGTGATTCCAAAAGAACCCCAAAGTCACAAATACAGGTCCTCAACTTACAACAGTTCACTTAGTGACTGTTCAAAGTTACAACAGCACTGGAAAAAATGACTTATGACCATTTTTGACACTTAAGACCTTCACAGCATCCCCATGATCATGTGATTAAAATTCGGATGTTTGGCAACTGATTCATATTTATGACCATTGCGGTGGTCCCAAAGTTATGTGATCCTCTTTTCCAACCTCCTGACACGCAAAATAAATAGGGAAGCCAAATTCACTTAACAACCGGGCTACTAACTTATTAACTGCAATGATTCAAACAATTGTGGTGAGAAAGATTGTAAAATGGGGCAAAACTCACTTAACACATGTCTCACTTAACAAAAATGTTGGGCTCAATTGTTGTAAGTCGAGGACTACCTGCAACCTCTTTCAAAGGGAGCAGAATGCCACACAGTAATTCCTGGCACCAATGCCACCAGATTGCCCAGAAGTTTATTGACAGATAACAATTTTTTCTGGATAGGATCTTAGTTTGTTTTATTTCATCCAGACCCTGATAGACTCCAGGCACCAATTTGGCATTTCTACACCATATGTAGCTCAGTCTGGAGTGGGGAAGCATAACCCAGTTTATAAATATCACTTAAATGTCACTTGCTCTCTTTGCAGAAGGGCAGGTGTCCCAGAGTGTGTAGCCTTAACAGAGAAGGTGTGCCTCTGTATCCATATTCCCTTTCCCTTTATATGGGGGTGGGGCCTCTATCATTCTCCCCTTCATGCATAGACTACACATATTCTACCTGGAGGAGATGCTCCTTAAGCCAAGTGACCTACAATTATGTTAAATTACCTACAAGCAACCTGGAGCCAAGCGACCTATAATTATGTTAAAAATGAACGTATTACGTTTAAATGAATAGAAAAATAGCCTTGTTGAAATAGCTTCCTGGGGAAAAAAACTTTTTAAAAAAAGAAGAAGAGAAGAAATTGTACTTGATGGATTTGAAATGTTACTCATGTCTTGGATTTATTGTCCCTTTTCAATGTTCTAGAGGTGTCTTCAAATAGAGCCATATAATGAAGTATGTCAGTATATGAAAGGTCTCAGTCATGTTGCCATGGGCCAATTTTATGAAGGAATCAAAGCTCAGACTAAAGTTATGCTAAATGATCCCTTGCCTGGTCAAACAGTCAGCACAGAATATTTGAAAGTGAAATACTTCAGGGGTAAGTTGCTGATAACAATATAATTAATGTTTTTACACAAATCTCTGTATATTTAACCATGGGATTTTATGGACACTTTTTGAAAATAAAAGGCATTCTTTGTTTGCTGCTGTGATCTAGTTAATAATGTTATGCCCTTATTTTATTTTATTTGAAACAGAAATGGTTTAATTACTTTGTCAACTTAACATATTTCTGGTTAGTGACTAATAAAGAACTAAACTACCAGAGAAATGAAATCATCTTCCAGAAATGAAATCATCTTCCTGGCCATTTTTCTAATATTTTTTCCATTCATGGGATGTTTTATTTAGAAATTTGTATTACTGCAACTATTCAATTTTTTTTACTTTAAAGACTGAGCGATTGACAAAACCTCCAAAGCAGATAAAACAATTTAAGACAATTGGAATTATTAACATATAGATGAAAAGAAGCTAAGACATCAGTTAAAAAGCTTGGCTATAGAAGTACATTTTGAGTGGAGAACCACCACTAGCAACTGTTTGATCTTCACAAATCATGCAAGCGGTTAGTTTCTTGCCAACTGTATAAAACTGTCTGCCACTTTGAAAATTAACAGGCCTGTTGTTTGGGGAAAATATCCAAATATGGCATTAAAATGTTAATAAAATGAGTACGAACCATATTGCCTTGCTTTAATTTTTGGGGGAGAGAGGAGGAGGATAAATCAGCTGAATTTCACATGGAGGTCTTTTGGAGAAATTATTAGAGAAAATATATCTCATTTTCTCCACAGAATATTCTCGCTATCTCCATGCCCATCTTGATATTCCAGTTACAGAATACAACATAGATGCAGATCTTCCTGGGAAGTTTAAAGACCACTGGGTCAAGAATCTTCCTTTTTTGATAGAAGACTATGAAGAACAGCCAGGCCTACAGCCAAATATAAAGTGAGTGATTAAAGTGCTATTTTGTTACCAGGCTGTGCTAGAAATGTTTAAATGTTTAATCTAGAGCAACAGGCGTATATCTTTATGCATTCTTGTTTTTAAGCTTGTAGAATTCCATGGTTTTCTGTTTCATGTAAAATCTAGGAAGAAGAATTTGAAACGTTCTTTTTTTCAGCCATACTCAATTGAATACAATTTTACAAAAGCAATAATAGCTGCTATTTCTTGTTTCCAAAATAAATTATGTCAATAACTTTAGAGATTCAAAACATGAAACTATGAAAAATTGATTTTGCAATCATTTATTGAACAAATAATTAACAGATATGGCATTTCCTTCTGTGGAAAAAATGAGTACATTCTTAATCTTAATGCCTGGAATTTCCCCCTTTGGCAAAAACAACCTCCAATTGGCATTTCTTATAACTGTCTACAGCAATGTTTCTGGGAGTTGATGTCCAAACATCTTCAAGCTGCCAATGTTGAGAAACAATGGTCTACAGTCTCTGGCATTGACTGGGAAGAATTTTTTTTAAGCTGTGTGACATTTGAAGGGTTTCTTGCATAGATAGCCTATTTCAAACCATCCCATAGCATCTTGGATTTATGTTAGGTTAATTTTGACTATTTGAGAATCAAACATTTCTCCCCCCCTCCCCAGGCGTTCCTTGGTATATAGGAACCAAGATTTAGGATTTAGGTTAGGTTAATTTTGACGATTTGAGAATCAACCATTTCTCCCCCCCTCCCCAGGCGTTCCTTGGTATATAGTTTGGTGCTCCAAACTATAACATTTCCACCACCATGCTTTATAGTTAGTAATATTTCTGGTAAAATGCTATCTTTTGTTTTCATCAAACATGTTTTTTATACTGTGGCTAAATAACTTTGCCTTTCTGTCCACAGTGCATTATTCCGGAAGTGTTCATGAACAAACTTCAGTCTTGCCTTGGTGTTCTTTCTGGGCAGCAAAGATTTCTTCTTGGCACACCTCCCATATAGATCTAATTTATGCAACTTCTTTCTAATGGTAGACTTATGTTCCTTGACATCAGTAATGGCAAGGTTTATCCATAAGATTACATAATGTAATTCTAGGGTGCTTAGAGACTTCTTTCAGCATCTTGCCTTATGCTCACAGGTTGAACTTGCTGTGATGACCTGGCAGATTGGTGGTTGTTTGAAATAATTTCTACTTGCAGATGGAAATTTTCTGGATAGTGGAATGATAAATGTCCAGTTGTTTGGCCATCTTTCTAATCCCTTCCCAGACCCCTAAGCATTTACAACCTTCTTTCTGAAGACCTCAGACAATCTCTTGAACTAAGCATGGTGATACCACAGTGCACTTCAACAACAAAGGGAAAATCAAGCTAAATGTCTGAAGTGTAAATGAGACAGGCTCTTCACCTAATCTTTCTAATGATTTGCATCTAATCTGGTTCACTTGATTCTAATTTTAGATATTTGAAGTAGTGATAAATGTAAGGGTGTACTTACTTTGTCCAGATGCAAGATTTGCGTATTATGTTTGTTTAACGTAGTCTACACAATGTAAAAGGTGCATGATATTTGTTTTATCCCTGTATTAGTATTGTTGAAATGAAGATCAGGTATATCTCTATGTTGGAATATCAAATATCTCTATATTGGAACACACACATACACACACACTTTTGTTTATAACTTGTTGATGAAACTGTCACAGAAAACAAGCTGACCTTCTTTCATTCAGAGCTTGTGAAATAGTTTTTCAAGCAGCTTCTTATCCATTAGCAGCAACATGGCACTTGAAAATTGAGAGCTTTGCATGCTTGTTTGAAGAATGTGTTGCTGTTGAAACTCCTTTAGTCTGCAGGACTAAGCAAGATCCTGTTAGTAAAGAAACAATCTCAGATAACAGTACTGAAATGTCTAGCTAGACAATTATTAATATACAGGCAATCCTCACTTAATGACTGGCATTGGGACTGGAATTTCCATTACTAAATGATGATAGGATCATAAAGCACAATGTCATATGACCACATTGCTTAGCCACAGCAGTTCTAGCAGTTCCAGTTGCTGTTGTTAAGCAAATCTTCTGATGTCATTAAGTGCAACATCATGTGCTTGCCATTTGCTACCTCCTGCTGGTTTTCCTGTTGACTTTGCTTGTCAAAAGCCAGCAGTGAAGGTTCCAAGTGGCAGTCATGTGACTGTGGGACCCTGCTACATCATAATGGTGGGCCAGTCACTGAATGCCCAGATCATGATTTCATGACCAGGGGGTCTCTGCAAGCATCATAAGTATGAAGACTAGTTTCAAATACCACTTGTGGTAAGTTCAGATGACTGCGGAAAAAATGATTGTTTAGTGTAGATGACGACGTTTTATATTCATAAATAAGAACATTGCCAAAAAAACCTTCTACTTTGGTGACAGTCAGTGGTCTTGCACCTTGTTTCTAATATGGTTAATTCCTAATATTTACTATCTGTTTATGACTTCATACAAACCCTCTTGATATTTCATATAAACTCTGTTATAATTTTAGAGATGTGCAGCTTCACAAATTTGAAAACTATAAGTCCTCAGTGCAAGAGATGATATGTGTAGCTAATCATTTGGGTTCATTAATGCAATATGAGACTGTTGGATTTCTCCCAAACAAGAGAATGCATAGAGGTAAGCTAGGAAAATATAATCTGAACATCATTTCTCTTGCTATCACAGTTGTCTATTTTAAAATATAGAATTATAAAACATACTTTCCTCCAACTTGTAGAGCAGTTCATTCAGAGATTATGCAAAAATATTCAAGTATTTACAAGCTGTCATTTCTATGTATCAAATCTATCGAGGAAGCTATGCCCAGTGATATCCAACACCAGCTATCATTTATTTCATTGTTTCTCTTAAATTACAATTTGAGCTGGATGTTAACCTCACTGAACACAGCAGGCCTGAGATTCAAAAAATGGTGCAATTCAATATATGAAGAGAATAAATGTGAGTGGGCTGAACTTATGCCTACTTTGTTTGTTCTTCAGCAATGGGGCTAGCGGTGCTAGAAGTAATGCAAGCTGTACAGCGAACTTGGGTAAACTCAAAGGTGCGGATGAATGGAAAAACCAAGCTGATGCAATGGAGAGATATGTTCGACATTGCTGTGAAATGGAGACGGTAATAAAGGAGAACATCGATTAGGACTGTGCAAACTATTTGGAAAGGTGCTGTGGTGAAATGGAGTGGCAGTTACAAGGGAAGCATCTTCAGTGTAATGCACAGACATTCCTAGAAAACTAGAAATGGGCCTCGCCAAACTTTTAAGAAATATAGAGATGTTTTGCAAAGTGCCCCTCCAAACAGTTTCTACAGTCTTCAAATATATTAAATTGATACTCGTGAATTTTGCTGATTATCACTATCAGGAATTCTAGCTAAGCAGTCTTAAGTTTTGTAAAAGTAAAGATACAGTAGACTGAGGAAGTTTACCTTACCCAGTTTCTGTGTGGTTTCTATTTCATTAGTTCTGGTTAGTATACTTTAAAAAAATTGGAAAGAAAATTCAGAAAAGAGACAAATGAAAGGACAATGAGATTTTCAATCTTCTTGGGGGAAGATTGGGTAGTTTAGAGTTCTTTAGTTTAGAAAAGGGCCATTGTAGAGGTTTATCAAATTATTCTAGAACTAAAAGCAGTGCACTTCTGAAAACCAGTCTCAGGAAAACCGAGATAGAGAAATAATACCTTCATAATTGTGAGCTTTCCAGAGGTAACTTGTTGCCACTACGGAACACTTAATTTGTACTAAAATAAATTACACTTGGCTCCAGCAAGGTTATTCTTATAGGATAATACTGTTTTAGCAGTATAACAAGTTTATACTTATGAATGCACTCAATTGAACTAACTTAATTTTCCCTCAGCTGGTGCTTTTCTTTGTGGAGTATGTTGGCATTTTTAGGATTTATTTAGTTCCCAGTTCTATACATACACACAGCTTGATTTATATATTTTTATTTGTGGTGGGAGGAGGTCAAGGTAAATTCTCATTAAAAAATCATAACCATTGAGGGACAATGGAGAGGAGCTAGATGAGACATTTGGGTTGCATTCATGATTTATAGTTAGGTTGTTTTATGTTCACAGTCACAATCAACTGTTTATTAACACTAAAATGGCTTGAACTATAATTTAGCTCTCTAATTTAATATTATGCAGCCTATTCTAGAAGCTAGCTCAATATTGTAGTTGGAAAGAAGCAATAAAAATGTCAACTTGGATGTGACTTGATATAATCTTTAATGAGAGTAACACAGTTTGTCTTTGCAGGATAGCTGATCCAGACCAGCCAGTGCTATGGTTAGACCAAATACCAGCTCAAAGTCTTAGCAGAGGTTTTAATAATCACATCAATCTTATCAGGTATGATGTTTCAGTGAAATTTTCTTTACTTCATATGCTGTAAAAGAATCATTTATTCTATATTAGGCTAATTCACAATATAAAGATTAGGATTTTAAAATTGGCCTTACATGTTTTTCTTTTATTATATTTTATATTTAATATATTGTAAAACAAAATATAGTCCCTTCCTTTGTCCAGAGGATCAAGAGGTACAGTAACTACTGTATGTTATTCTGGAATCAAATCAATAATCCTCATGTCTTTCAAAAGTGCTGAGGTGGTAATTTTTCCTACATTGAAAGTAGCTCCTAAAATAGTAATAGTATCTCTATAGAATAATGCCTCAACAGGGCCTCACCATCTAAGAATAGTTTTATCATTATATGTCCCCACCTCTCCTTCAAAACAAAACAGGATTCCATGCTGGAGCATCCCCAGAGAAGTGCAGGAAAGACCAGGCCACACTATGGTCAATTACAGGTGTTTGGACCGTGTTTTATATATATAGGCTGGCAAACTTTTTGCTTTTTCCAGAAATACTGAGAAGTATTTGCTTTCACTAGCTTTGCTTATTTGGGGGAATTTGAAGAACAGACAATTTTTGAATCCTCTAAGAGTAATCCATCTAGTACAAAAAACCCTATCTGGCATTCCATGACTGTGGAAATATTGCTTATGGGTGGTCCAAACTAATTTTATTTTTAGGGTAACATAAAAGGTTTCTATCTTTGATAGTTTACAAGTTTAATCTGGTTTTATGATGCTTCAGAAAGCATTGTAGCAACTGAGTGGCTATGATGTTCAGCTATCCTGATGCTGAATTCCTTTCATCTTTGATTCTGAGTGGAGTGGCGCTACCTTTCAGTGGCGGGAGGGAGATCACTCACGGCTTCAGTTATAAAGTATACGGACAGAAGGATTTTTTTCTCCCTGAATGTTTGCTATTTTTACTGCTCTGATTATTTTGTACAATGTTTTAGTTTATAAAACTGTCCAGAATAATCTGGAATGGGACAGCTTCACCATTCTGGAAACAAATAGATAAATAAATGCCTTCTGAGGATTGTTGGGGTGAGATGGGGGGGTTAATCTTTCAGTCATCTGTAAAGCATCTTGGTTGAACTCTAAATAATGACCTGCCATCCAAAGGGATTTTATTAGGATTGGTTCTTTCAAGGTAACTTGAAAATTCTTCTGAGATTAAATAGCTTTATATTATTCTCATAGTTTAGAATTCAAACACTGCATTATTAAAATATATTACCTAGGAGTAATGCTCATTGCAAAAGAGACTTCTTTTATGAATTAAATACAATGATTATGTATAACTTGCATTTAGATTGCAAATTTAATATAAATGGAGAATAAATTTACATTCATTTTATGAATAATTGTTCATAATTTTCTCCTCTTACCATATTACTGTTCAACCTTGATTCATATACAAAGATGATTAAGAATAAATTAAAAGTGAGTTTTGTAAAGGTTCGGAATATTTTATTGTTCATATACTCCAGATTTCATAGCAAGTAGGTATTGGGAAAAAAAACCTCTTGAGAGCACAGTTCATAATCCAGTGTCATGTATAAAAATTGTGCATGTCCTTTAATTATTCATGTATGAATGATCTCTTTAATCTATCTTTAACATCCATTTAAAAATATTTCTATCTACAGGGGCCAGTTTATTAACATGAGATACACAGAGTATTTTGACAAGATACTTCATTTTATCAAAGACAGGATCCTTGTTTATCATAGGTACACATTTTTTTCTTGCAATTTTACAGCAATTTTTGTTATTTATAAACCATTTCAAGACTAGATGCCCTGTATATGTATATATCAATACATGCATTCTGGCTGTATATATATATCATCTGAATAAAGTGAGATAAATATTATGAAAAAAAACCCAACTGTTAGAGATCAAAGACTTAGTTGCAAGAGCATGTATTTTAGACAATGGGGTGGAAAGAGAGATATAAAAGAACAGGGCAGAAAATGGGAAAAATATTCTTAGGTTGGCCAAAAGAAAAAGACCAGCTAAAGAAAGTATATGGGAAAATAGAGAGAAAAATTAAGGAATTCAAAAACTAGGGATTAAAAGTGTGAAAAAATGTTTAGTAATAAAAATAAGGTAATCTGAGAAATATTTTATGATGTATCCTGTTTTCATGCTAAATAAATGTAAATGTAGAATCTCATGATGAAATTGTGCTAAAATCTATTTTAGTGGTAATAACCACAAAGAACTATTGGAAGTTCGTGAAGCATTGGAGCAGGTACATAAGGTAGAAGATCTTCTTCCAATTATGAAGGTATTTTTCTCTCTAACCTATTTTTATTAATATTAGAAATTAGATCAAACATAACTGTAGAAATTAAATCTTAAAACTTGCCCATTATGTTATAATGTATTTTTCGGACTATAAGACGCAACTGACTATAAGACACACCTAAATTTACAGGAGGGGGAAAAAAATTTTGTCTTTGTGTGTGTCACGTTTTCGCCCTCCCTGGCCCCCAGAAGCACTCTGCAGTGTTCCACACAGCCCATTTTTGGGCTCCTAAGCCCTCCATGCATCATGTTTTCACCTTCCCAGGTCCCCAGAAGCACACTGCAGTGCTCCACACATCCCATTTTTGCCAAAAACGGGCCTGTTTTTGGACTCCAAGCCCTCTGCATCGCATTTTTGCCCTCCGAGGCCCCCAGAAGCAATCTGCAGTGTTCCACACGGCCCGTCTTCACCAAAACTGGGCCCGTTTCTGGGCTCCCAAGTCCTCCGTCATGGTTTTTTTTGGGGGGGCGTCCCCAGAAGCACTTTGCAGGCCAAAAATGTGCCCATTTTTGAGTCCAGTTTTGGTGAAAACAGATCATGCAGAGCACTGCAGAATGCTTCTGGTGGCCTGGGAGGGCAAAAATTTGTTTTAACTTATACGTTATTGTTATTTCCTTTGACTGTTACTTTTTGGCTTTATACCAGTGTTTCTCAATCCCAGCACTTTCAGATGTGAAAGTATACAGTAGTTACCATATTTCTCATTTACTATAGAGCCCAACTTTCAGATGTGTGGATTTCAACTCCCATTCTGGGAGTTAGTCCATGCATCTAAAAATTTGGGCTTTATAGTAAATAAGAAATGTGATAACTACTGTATATTACAAACAAAGCTGTTTAACAAATACATTGTGGTTGTTTTTTTTTTAAAAAAGAAAGACAGTTATTTTCTTTGAAGAAAGAAACCACTGACAAAAGCAGATTACAGGGGAGCAGTCTGATAGTAGGAGATCTGTAAGCAAATTTGATTAATAAACAATATCTATATCTAAATGACCACTCTTTCTGCAACCATTTGAACTTACAACATAATATATCCATGTGATGGAAGGACCAGAAAGTGGGGTTGAAAGCCAAGCTGAGTGGGATCATTTATTTTATTTTCTCTTTATTTCTTCTTGCTAGATAGCAATTTCTCTTGCTAGAAGTCCCTTGCAGAGTGTCTTTAAAAGAAGTTTACAGGCATTAACTATATCTTGTCTAGGATGAGTCTAGTCCTAACATAGGAAACTTTCTACTCTTTTAAATATCTCCTGGCATAGCAACATCTCTGGCACTGAGATGATGCACTAGCTAGGGAAATAAACCCTGTCCTTTTGGTATTGTTGTAATTTGCATTATGTAGTATAAGAACATTTCAATCTATTTTGAACATTTCTTTTGGCATTTTTGTAAAGCAGCTTAATAGTAAAACAAGAGATGGTTTTACCATCCACACCAAAGTCCCAAGCCTCAAAAATCCAGGAAAGGAACATGATGGATTTACTATTACTTTAACAGGAAACAGGTAAGTCTTTCTTTTATATTATGACATACAGATCTTTATTTTAATTAGCATGTCAATCAATTGAAGCCTGGATTTCAGAGAGGTTTAAAAGATACTAAAATATCATTTATCTGCAAAGCTGGACTTTCTGAATTTTAATTGCTTTACTCAGGTACTTTTAGCATTTTATGCAAGTCTGACATTGTCAGGAGGTCACTGTCCATTTAGCTTCTTGTTTATGCATCAGAATTGTGTAGACTAGATCTTATTTATAGTTTTTAACTTTCCTATTCAATAAGTACATTAGAACCCATAGAGTCTTTTTGTATTATCTAGTGTATGTTCATTGGTGTATAGCAGTGTAGTTATACTGATGCAAATCAGTTTACATAAGACACTGACCGGCTATAAGCAGAGGGTATATATCAGTCCAGTATTTGATTTTTTTAAATATAAATGATGCTGCTCTTCAATGGTTACATGATCTAGAGTTTGGTATTTGAACATAGATCTTTTCAACATTTAGATCTATTTTACTGTGTTCTAGGTGAAATGTTAATTTATATTGCTACTCCATGTATGACATGCCATATGCTAAATAAATAAGACAGAAAATCCTCCTTCAGAGATTAGTGCACAATCCTGTGCACTAATGTGATAGATGCATTTCCACCGCTTCATTTCTTTTCTTTTCTATCATGACCAGAAAGAAGAATAAATTAGAATTTAGTTTTGTTCTGGTACATTTCTGGTTTGTAACCCTCTTTAGGGAATATATGGTTTAGAAATATGAACTATAATAAACAAGTAAATTAGCAAATAGGTCATTTTAAAATAAATGCTAGATTTACTTCTTTACTATTTGCTCATTAATTTTGTTATTCCTTTTTTCTTTCATTTTATTGCTTTTACTTTTTTAATAACTTTATAGTAATTTATATAGTAATATAGTACAGTAAATTTATATAGTAAATTACAGAAGCTACTTTTTAACATATTTCTGAAATTTTATTAAAGGAGAACATAAAATGTCAGCTTTGTATATAAGCTCATGAACATGATGATAAATTATGGGATAGCCTGACATGCAAAAGTTCTGATATTCTGTTTTCATGTCTGGGTTACACCCATCACAAATCATGGATATGTCAATACATAAAACTTTGCTGCTGTTCTTTTTCTTTAGTCTTTTATGTTGCAAGGTTCACGGATAATTATTTAAAGATATTTTGGACTGTAAAAAGAATTCAGCAAAGTCAAATATTGTTTGTTGCTTTAGTAATCTTGACATTTTTATGTGTGTTTGAACAATGTGAAGTCCTTTCTATTTTTTGAAGCACTCTCTTTCTCACATATCTTGCAGGATTGGTAATCTTTTGTTTTCAGTTGAGACACAGACAACAGAAGCAAGAACACAACTTTATCATACAGAAATAGATGCTCTTTATAAAGATTTAACTATGAAAGGAAAAACACATCTTTTGTCTGCAGAACCTAGGGTAATGACTTTTTAATTATTTATTTTAAAAGCTAGTAGACAGGAAATATTTAAGTAGATTTAGTAGACAAACTTTGAGGGTGTGGGGGTTTAGTTCAGTTTCCCATTTTTTCGGAGAGTATACGGAAACTGTTATGTAAAAACAGTCACAGGAAGAGAAAACCATTTTTTCTGCCCCCCCCCCCCCAAGAATTCCATTGTAAGAAAGAAAGTGAAAGCTTCTAGGAACCAAGCCAAGTTTCCCATATCCCTATCTGAAAAATAGACCAAAAGTGTCCTTTGGGAAAACATTTTGTGGTTGATTTTAAGGGGATTGGAATAGAGTAATAGGCAAAACGGGCAGAAATTTCCAATCTCCAACTTCGTTCCATAAATATCTTTAAAAATGGACCACAAATGGGCCATAGATTGTCACCCAGATGTGATTTGTGGTTCTAAGCCTATTTTCATCATCACATTTAATTTTTTTTGGGGGGGGGGGAACTGTGTTGCTGATTTTAGCAAGGTGGGCAGAATATAAATTTAATAAAATAATTAAATACATTTTATTTTATTTTATTTAGGAGACAGATGTCATATGCAATTTAATCTTGTCTGTTTTATACTACTTCTGTAACTTAATGCCACTTTCTAGAGGTTCCAGGTTAGTAACTATCTTTTTATACAATATTTAAAGCAAGTTTATCTTATTAATAACATAAATAATTGTGGTGTTATATTATTCTCTGCCCATTCAATTTTCAAATAAGTGCAAAAGTTTGGTATTTTACTTATTTATTTAATTTCAATTTATTCTCTACCCTAGGTTATAAAAATAAATAATATAAAAGAATATATTTCTAATATTTTGGAAATATTAAAATTTGATGTAGGCTGCAATCTTATAGTTGGATATATGTTTACTTGTACATAATAACCAGAGCCTGGTGAGAGGCAAATGTAATAATTTGAAGAAAACAATATTGTGAAAGAACCCCCCCACATCGATTCCTTAAATAATTAATTTATTTCCCCATTTTTATGCACTGCCTGTTCATTAAGACTCGAATTAGTGATGGTTATTCTGTCATATTCTGACATCTCCAATTAATGGAGTTTGTTAGTGAGAGTCTGCCAGCTAGAAAATGAACTGTAGGAGAAATGGCTGTATTGCCTTTTGTTCTATCTGTTAAGTCTTACAGGGAGAAAGCAGCTTATTTTTAGTCAATTGTTTTCTCTCCATTCTTGCTTCTCTTACTTTTCTTATTTGTGAGAAGCTGTAGAATAAATGTGTGATGCTGGGATATCTGTTATTTTTCTGCATTGCCAGCTTGCTGGGTTTGCATGTTATATACTAAGAACATTGTTATTGCTGTTGTTTTAGTATAGTGGCTTATTCAATCATCATGGGAGCACTGATGGCAAGTGGGCAGGAAGTGTCAGGAAAAATTCCTAAAGGAAAGGTATGCTCTGTATAACTTACGTTAAATTTAGATAAGAATAACTCTTGATCATATATGTATTGTTTCTATATCTTGTACTCCTGTGTCCAAAATGCTCCTTAAGGATCCAGAATTCTGCTTGAGGATATGTGTAATATTGCAAAGGTTGCCTCTTTGGTACTGTATTAGAAATAGTCCTAAGAAAAATAAAAGGCGGTGTAACAAATCATTAAATTAATCCATAGTTCAATACATGTAGGGTAGTAAATGGAATTTACTTCCAAGGAAGCATGTTTCTCCTTGGGCCTTGAACCTGATCCATTTACATTTATAGCTTTTCACTATCATGCCCTGTATTTATGGAGTACTTTTATATCAGACAGCTTTTAGTAACAGAATGTGTAAACATGTTCTACCTCCTAAATTCTTTCCTTAAGAGAGAATTGAAAGCTATCAAAAGGCAATGCAGTTGTATTTTCTTTTTGTTATCTGGGGTATTGTCTACAGTGTGCTGTTTCTAATATATTGCATTGAGTTATATGATAATCTTTCTGATGGACCTTTTAAACAGAAGTTATACAAGTAGACATTTAAATAATATTTATAATCGTGGATTTTAAATTTAAATTCAAAATATATTTTCCTCTGAATTGTGTTGTGCAGCTTAAGATTTTCAGTGTTGGATTGCAATTGCTATAATGGCAACCTCTGTGAGATAAACAGGTAAAAAATGTCCAGTGCTACTCTTGCTGGTCTTCCAAAACATATGGCTATGCCTTTTGCATAACTTTGAATGTATGGGTAGGTTCTGGTACAACTGGAAATTATTTTAAAATGTTCCTTCCTTTAAACTCTCTTTTAATGTTTTCCAGTTGGTGGATTTTGAAGCCATGATTGCATCTAGTTCAGAAGCCTTTAGTAAAGTAGCAAAAGACTGGTTGAATTTGAAAAGGTAAAAGTACTAATATTGATATATATGAGTATGTTCTATGGAAAGAAAAGAAGAAGCCCTGCATTTTCTACCAAATATTTAATCTTCACTCACTTTGGGGTTTGATTTTTCTAAGAATTATCATCACTTTGTTTTGCCCACATCAGACAAAACAAGTATCCTGCTTAACTTTCTGCATGTATATGCATGCCATGATAAACACAATATAGACATTTTTAAATAATCATATATAACAATAGTATCTAATATAATTAAGGTAGTTCAATACAACCAATTTCATTGTATTTAAGTACAATGACAATAAAGATTATACTTATACTGAATATATGGACTGACTGAAGTTATTGGGATAAACAACAGAATTCTGTTATACTGTAATGTGAAATACACATATACATACACCCACACCTATATACCCACACCCATGCACACATACAGTATACACAGATGTACACATACATGAAAATATTAATAGAAAAATGTAATCAGTTAGATTTATGATTTCCCAGATTAAAAACATTTTGGCTAGAATTCACTGTTACTCTTATTAATTTTAATAACTTAAATAGTCTCTTGAATAGGCATTGAACTGTAGACTGATATCTAAATATTAAACAAGTATTTTAAAAATGTAAATACCATGCAATTTTGTTAATTTTATTTTAGATAGGTATATGAACTATACTTCTATTAATCTTGGCAATTTTGCATTTTCAGCATTTCACCTTCCTACAAGAGTCTTCCACTGGTATCAGAATCATTTCCGACTTTACGAACTATGATGGAAGTATTAAGTGCAGATTCATCACATTGCCTTAAAAGGCTTTAGTTGCTATGTGACATCTGAATAAAGAACCCTGACTTCCTCTTTTGTATGGTTTTTATTTTTCTGATATGAACATGAAATGATCTGATTTCTGATACTATTTTTATGGAAACCAAAGATTTATATCTTTATAAATGCAGTAGAAAATAGAAATCTTTTTGATAACTGGAACTATTGGACAGAAGATGATGATTTGATTTATTCTATATATAACTGTGCCTCTGTTTCTTAACCAGTGATGTACTTAAAAAGATACTCTGCGGAATTAAGTGTTCTTAAACCCATTTAAATCAATATGAACCAAATTGTACAAGATCATGTTCTGTCCCATTAGGGCTTCTGAATATTGAAGGATGTAAAATACAAATAATTGAAAAAAGCAAAAATAATCTTTGAAATAATTGCAGATACTTGCTTTCAGAAAATGTTGATTATGAGTATTGCTACTCTCAGTCCATCCATTTCAGGAAATGTATCCTTCTAAAAATAAAATATCCGCTCCTTTGGTTTTGCATCAAGATGATAAAAGATAGCTATGAAAATATGTGAAGTATATACAAATATTCCTTGTTTAATAGTATTTGAGGCTGGCAATTTTGTGGCTAAGTAAAGAGGTTGCTAAGTGGGAAATCACCTGACCATGACTGCGTTTTCCAGCTTCAAACTGAAAAGACTAATCAGTTTCACACCTTCAGGTTTTGTTTGCCTCCTAACCACTCCCTGGCTCTTTGGAATGATCACCTTGGCGCTGGACTAATTAATAAGGAAATTAAAGCTTCTATTTACATTCATTGGAGAGGAAGGAATTACAAGTGAATAAGCAGGCACACAGTAGGGAATACACATCGGAAAGCAATGCACTGGGGCTAGCAGCCAGTGTGCTGTGCAAATGCTAAGTCTATTTCCCATTGTGTGCCTGCTTATTCTTCTATAATCCTTTCCTCTCCAATCTTTCTGCTCTGTGAGAGTGAGGGGAAAACAGGTAGACCCAGGAGAAATTGCCTATCGAAATAGTTTGGGGTGGTGTTTTTTTTCTTGCTCCCCTCACAGAGTGGAGAGATTGAAAAAGAAGAAACCCATAATTCAAAGCAATGAAGAGCTATTGCTTTACAAACATATAAAAATTCCATAATCATTTTTTTAAAAAATCAAATAGAAAAACACCCTCCGCAGCAGAATTCATTCTATATCGGCTCATTACAGCCATTGTAAGAGTTCGTCACCATTGCTGGATCCCCAGGAAAATACGAAATCAGGGGCAATATGATGTAGATGCCAAGGCAGGGAAAAGCTTTTCCATCAATCCTTAAGGTCGACGCTGATAGATGGGACAATTAACCAGTGGAACAGCTTGCCTTCAGAAGTTGTAGGTGCTTCATCATTGGAGGTTTTTAAGAAAAGACTGGGCAGCCACCTATCTTAAATGGTGCAGGTCTCCTGCCTGAGCAGTGGGTTGGACTAGAAGACCTCCAAGGTCCCTTCCAGCTCTATTCTGATTGACTGGGTGCTGATGGGACGGATGGGGAGGGATGAGTTCACCTGAGCTCAGCTGAAAATCCCAAGGTGCCCCTTGCTCCAGTACATCATAAACAGCCTTCACGAGAGATCGGATTTTTTGCCTCTTACTCTTAAGGCAAAACAGCCCGTTGGTGAACCAGTCCATCTGGAAAACATAATTATGCGAGGCGACTCAAAATACTTGTTGCGAGTTTTCACTGATTCAGATTTGAGTAAGCGGGTTTAGAACACTTCTTATCCAGATTAAATGGCTTTTTTAAATAAGGTTTTTAAATTTAAATAACGCTGCCACCACCACCACCACGATTGAGCAGATGAAATACACCTGGGAAGGTTGCTCTCTATGCAAATCTGGCGGCTTTGATGAAACAAAGCAAGGAGGCCTTTCCACAGCAAACGCCATCCGCTCCAACCGGGAAGAAGCGCGGCGGGCCGAGAGGAGGAGCGAGGCCCGAGAGCAGCCACGGAGGCGTGGCTAAACGCAGGAGGAGGAGGAGCCGAAAGCTTGGCGGAGGCGAAGAGCGGAGCAAAACCGCCGAGCGGAGGGCGCGGCGGAAGAGTCGGTCGGCTCTCTGCTGCTGCCCCTTCGCCGTGCCGTTTTCCCGGGGCCGCGTGAAGCAGGGGCAGCTCGGCGATGGCGTCCATGGCGGCGGCAATCGCCGCTTCTCGTACGGCGGTCCTGAATGGGAACCGGCCGCTGGACGAGCGGGAACGTAAGCGCTTCAGCTACTTCTCTTCGCTCAACCCCATGGCTCGCAAAATCATGGCGGAGAAGGAGCGCATCCGCGAACGCTACGGGCCAGACTGGGAGCGGCTGCCGCCCCGCCAGCAAGACGAGATTATTGACAAGAGCCTGGTGCAGCCCAACATCCAGGCCCGGTACGCGGCTCACCGAGGGGCAACCCGAGACAACCCGCCTCCGGTCTGCTACCCGAACCTGCGCCTCAATACCGGCCAGAAGGTAGTGCGCTTCGGGGACGAGGTAAGCTCTTGTGCGCCGGTCGGTCGCGCTCTGCACATGTACAGTGGGTAAGCAGCGTAATGTTGCATTTTGGTTTTCCCGGCCCCGGCTTGGACGGTCCTGTTTTGAAGCAGTCGTGAGTCACCTGTGCATCGAGGTGGCATCAAGGAAAAACAGATAAGGCGTGGAGAAAAGATTTCGGGGACACAAGGTAGTATTTTAAAAAGGACTAAAAGTATCTGGCAGGGAGGCATGTGCAGAGGGCTGTTTTCCTTTTACCTTTAGGCATTACTCCTATAGTAAAGTTAATTGGGCCGAAGTCGGTATATGTAGACAAGATGCATGGTTCCATCTGGGCTGGAGAGTTGCAGTCTTCCTCTGACCAGATCCAAACAGGTGTGGATGGCTATATTTCACATCACTGATCAGAATTGCAAAGCAAAACACATTAAAAATAAACAATATACAATTTTACAATTGATAGTGGACTCATCAGTGGGTAATTAAAGACTGCCTAATTTTACAGGCAGTACAGCAAAATTCATCTATATTCAAACAGACGGAATCATAACAACTGATAACAATTGTAAGAAAAGATGGTCAGAATTTCCTGGGGTGATGGTGGGTGTTACCAGATTAAGGAGTCCTTGAGTCCTTATATAGAGAGTACAGTGTAGCAGCAGTCCTTGTCCACAGGGCCACAGTCTCAGGTCATAGGTGGAGGGGTTTTTCTTCTAAATTTCTTTGGGTATGCATACTTTTGACATCAATCACTCTGTGTTCAGTGAGATTTATTCAGATGGAAGAGCACGCCACAAGCTTTGTGCTGTTGAAAAGTTCTGGAGTCTCTAGAATGTTTATTTTCTGCCTCTGCAGGAATTAAAATTCCTCTAGATTTCCAAGAATTATTAAATACACAAGAAACAGCCTCCTCAGTTTTTAACAGTTTACCCCCATTCCCATTCATTTTGTTTTTAGTGTTGATTCTTACTATTTATCACACCCTTCATTTTATTGTGTATCCCAGTGATCGTTGTCACTGCTAGTGAGTACTTGTAAAATGCCTGATTATTTTACTGTGAAAACAGGAAAGTGTGAAATCATAACAAAAACATTAGTAACAGTCAGGATGTTCAACATAATTTGTAACGGCTGCACTGTTTTTCTAAACAAGATTTCTTCTGAAAAACAGGCTAGTTTGTATGTCTGAATAAAAGCTTAATTTAAAGGTGATGAACTAGGGCAGATACTCAACGTCTTTAGAGTTTACTGTACTTGCTTATTATTTTAATGGAATAAAAGTGAAGCAAAATGTTGATTGCCTATCTCCCAGCTTTCAAAAGATGTCAAATCAAAAGGTGGGACTGTCTTAATAGATTTCATTTACACTAATTCCAGGCAGTTGAGTTCTATCTCTCTGCATCTGGTTAGATTACATTCCATGCATAGATATAACATAAATCACTGTATGGTGCTGTTGCTATGGCTATCAAAGTGGGGTTTTTTAATGTTTAATGTGAGTGCATACTTGTATGCCTTATATTGATATCATTACAGCATATGAATCAGATTTGCTGTGTTGTGATTTGCACATTATTTGAGCCTGAAAAGAATAATGTGTTGGAAAGCCAGGTATAATGTAGTATGTACACTGAGAGCATATATGCACCAAAGACAAATTCCAATCACACCTAGCCAATAAAGAATTTTATTCTATACTAAAATAAAATGAGAATCTCTTGGAAACTGCCTTTAACTCTACAAAAAAAGGAAGGATGGATATAATAGTTATATAGTATATATAACATATAGTATTTATGTTTAGATAATAAACATAAACTAAGAACAAGTAGAAATGGTGACTGCTAAGTAAAAATATTTTACAATTGTGTTATTTTTGGCTATCAGGCATAAGGTTTCAATTATCTTTCATTTGACACAGTTGCTTTTCTGTGTCTATTTGCATGCATTTAGAAATCTGTAAGTTTTTAAAAACAGAGCTAGGCAATATAATGCTTCTGGGCACTAATGTGTGCCTTTTGGCTCATTTTTGGCATATAACAGGCTCCATCTGACTTAAAATATTCTTTTAATTTTAAAAAATAGGAAGCTGACACTATTCTCATTTATTATTCTTAAAAATGCTTCTAGGTTCCAGATAGGCTCCATAAGTAATCTTGGAAAATAAAAGTGGTTGCTAGCTGCAGTCAAGTATTTGCCTACCTCTCTAGAAAAAGGCAAAAGTATAAGATAGTAAGGGGTATTTCGAAAATAAAGGATAGAAATGGGCAGTTTTACCAGTTTGCTTTTTGATAAATGGGTGTTTTGTGACTAGTTACATCTAGCCTTCAACTATTTTGTAAACAGTAAATTCTCCCCCCAGAAGACCAGCCAAGATATACTGTGAAAATTCTAAATCTGGCCACCGATCCAAACAATTGTGAAATTTATATATTGCAGAGTTTGGTAAGCATTAAGATGCCACAGGAGTTCTCAATGTTTTTGCAATAATAGGACAATAGGATTATCAAATATTTCAACTATATTTTAAGACATTAGGTACTTCAGATTTTAATTCAAGATAACTTGGGGAGGGCTTTTTTTTTCATTTCAAAACATAATCTCCCATTTTGGGTATACTAGCTAGGAATTCTGAGAATTCCAGACCTCAAACATCTGGAGTACACCAGATCGGGGAAGGTTCTTCTAGTGAATTCTGCACTTCCTTAAATGCCCATTTAAAGGATACAGTACAGTAATAGCTAAGAACCCTATGGATATTTTTGTTACATTAGTAAAGCTATACCTATAATCTTTCAGGAGTAGAAAACCAAAAAGGAGATTGTAAAGTTAAAAATAATTGGAAAGAAGGAAAGGCAGTGCTTAATATAGCCTGCAAATTCATTCACAGGAATAAACATTATAAAAATGGCCTGCAAACAACTAACTTGTTAACAGCAGGTGGTAGGAAGCTACTGCTAAAATTAGTATTGTGGAATTGTTTACGTTTGATTACAGGAAACTGACAATCCTTTTTGTGTTTCTCCACACAAAAATTGTGAATATTCCAGGCCTGGGTATTTTAAAAACACCTTCTAAAAATTGATCATAAAGTTACTTCATCATGATGATGACTGCATATAGTCGCTAAATGAAGTGCTAAAGGAGAGCTACCTGTAAGTAACATGAAATTTAAAAAGATGGACAGGGAGGAAGAGCAGGGGGGAAGTGGTGATCAGCTAATTGGTCCAATAGTCCCCTCCAGTGATGTAGTCCCCTATTGGGTCCCCAGGCCAACCATCAAAGCCAGTTGTCCCCAGGCCAACCATTAAAGTCTGGAAGGAGAGGTAGGTGGGGACAAACCTCACCCTGGGGGTTAGGATATTCCAGAGATCTGACGTTACAGCAGAGAAGCCTCATCTGTTCTCCTGGGTAAATACATTCTTTGCTATTTTTAAATATGTGTTTAGTTGGACTAAGTAAGAGAAATTGTGAAAAAGCACAGTTGAAATTATTTTTTAAAACATTAAGCATGGAGGAAACTTGATTATGTGGTGGCTTTAACTTATGCAAGATCCTTTAACTTCTGAAAGATCCAGTAACCAGGGCTGAGATGTTTCCTATGGTTAAGATCTATAATAGTTTCAAAACTTCTCATGTAGGTTTGGAAGTAGGAGTTTTAATTTATGTGGATCAATAAAAGTGCAGTCAGGGAACGATAATTACATTTGCCTATCTACAGTCTGTCTTGTCGTATATATCTCATCACTGTATGCATATACAGATTTTTGTTTGTTTATTTAATTCAATTTATATGGCCACCCATCTTCTTATAGAGACTCTGGGTGATTAACAGCAATTAAAACCATAAAATAAATAGAAATAGCATAGCAATAGCATTTAGACTTATATACAACTCCATAGGCGTATATACCACTCCACTCTCTGAACGCTTTACAAATGTCAGCATATTGCCCCCAACAATCTGGGTCCTCATTTTATCAACCTCGAACATACGAAAGGCTGAGTCAACGTTGAGTTTTTCAGGATCAAACTCCTGGCTGTAAGCAAAGTTAGCCTGGAATACTGCATTCTAACCACTGCGCCATCATGGATTCTACCTCTGAAAATGCATATAAATACATAAATATATCATCAGTAGCTGAAATAAACAACAACCAGTCATCAGCATAAATTCCTCATGGTCATGAGTGATACTCCAATTCTTATGCTCAGGAACACAGCCATGTGTTCAATGCCTTACAAAAAGCCAACAGCATTGGGGCATATCTCATCTTCAGAGGGATGATATTCCAAGGGGTAAGAGCCACAACAAAAATGTCTGACTTTCTGGGTCCCACAAGATGACATTATTTAAGTGATGGGACCCATTATATGCAGATAGGTATGTTGTTAGTTTCTGGAATCTTATATCAATTATACTTCCCAGAAGAGGGCATCCTAATTCTTTGGGACTGGAGAGCACATTGGCATTCTGCGAAAATGTAGTGGGTACTCTCAAAAGCATCAGCTGGGACTTCCATGAGGGAAGAGTTAATGTGACTAATTTAATGTATAGAATAGGAATAGGAGAGAAGAGAAGAGTTGGAAGTATTACATTGTTGTTTCCCAAAATTGTTTTGCTGGAAAAGTGGAAATTCTTCCAAACTAAGCATTTAAGAATGTTTTTCGTATCTCTTTGAGGGTCAGATGTATTTGTGGAAGGCAGCAGAAGCTGATGGTTGGCATGCCAATTTCCCATAATCTGGTGAGCCTTCTAAGCTTATTGTAGCTCCTTCACCAAGAATATAAGTGGTTCCCAAACCAATATGGTTAACAGTATATGCTTCAATCTTCTCTTGATAGCCTCATCTCCAAAAGGACTGTCCTAGCCAATTAGCCAAAAGAAAGTGAAGCTGGATAAAAGAAAGATAAGCAATGTCACAACTGAAGTCTGTGTATGCACAGTTTGGGAAACTACAGGAACTCAGCACAGGTGATGATTTTCTGGAACGTTATATAGACAATTATTTTCTCAAACAATTCAGTTAATCTGAGAGCATAGAGAAGTGCTAGTTTCCGTTGGCATTTCTGATGATTCCTGGGGCAAGACATTTGCCGAGGACAACTGTTGTGCTCTTCTAGATTCTTCATGCATTGGAGCTAGAGTTTGGATTTTGCAGAAAGGGAGGAAATTAACCTTAACAGAAAAACATAGGAGCTGTTACCTATGCAAAAGGGATTGACACATTTTTTAAAAGTTCAAAACAACAAGATAACATGTTGCTAATTTACTGGAGTATAAGGAGGAGGAGAAGGTATACCACAACCAGACATATAAAATTTTGTTTTATTGCAGCCAATTTCAGTAGAAGTTGTTTTATCTTTCCAACGAAGTTCATTTCCTGCGTTTGTGTATCTGGTGGAACTGACAGATGTGTGCACGGAAGCTACATCAGTCCAGCAAACTCAGTGCTTTCAAGAGTGCCTTCCAAGGCATGAAGAAGAAGCTGCAGGAACATAGCTTGGGGTGGGAAAAAGGGCTCTGTGAGTACTGAGTGCGTATCTCTTTTCTTTCTCTTCCTCATCATTCTTCATTTTTTACTAGTAGTATTAAAATGCCACATAGAAAACTAAGGGCTGCTGCTGCTGCTCAAATGCTTTCATAGTGATCACAGAAGATTCTTTTGTGCTTTGGCTAACAGAGAAGTTATTACTATCTGTGGTGGATGGTCTGCACTTGGTATATGTCATTTGCTATTCCTGAAAAAAATGAAAGAAAGATGCCAGTGTCTCCTCTCCTATCTTTCTCTTCGAATGCCCTTATTGTAACACTAGCTGACTTATTGTAACACGTAGCTCCGCTAGGAAACTATGTGATCTGGGCTTGATAAATCGACACTTAATAGCTGGAAAATAAATGAGTAGTTACCATCTGCCTCACCTCTCCCCTTCTCTCCCTCAGGCTTGCCCCACAGAGGCTTCTCCTATCTCCCTTTGTGTCCCTCAGTTTTACTCCTTAGCATCAGAGTGTTTTTCAGGTGGGGAGGGGGAATAAAATGTCTAAACTTCCAGCCCGCAGGCCGGATGAGTCATGCGCTGGCCACACCCATGCCCACGCAGTTGGAAGTGGCAGTTGGAAAAGAGTTATTTTCAGGTGGAAAGGGGGAGTAGAACGTCTAACTCCTTAGCATCAGAGCGTGTTAATAATACTATAAGAAATACTAATTATCTGATGGTCATTTTGAAAAATCCTTTCTTAGCGAGCACCTAGAAGCCAAGTGGAGCATACGTGCCAAATTTCATGTTTGTTGGCTTTACGGTTCTGGAGATTTTGTGATGATGCATGAGTGGTATTTCACTTTTATATATAGTTACTGCCTGGGTGACTTGTAACTAGATGCAGACTTTTCTGTGCTTGATGCTTTACTACTGCTGCTGGAACCAGCATGTGATCGTCTTTTGACTTAAGGGGTGGCCTTTTTGTCATGGATGTGCAGAAGCCAGCAGAGATGTTCCTGTTCCTGCCCAAATAAAAACTTAATTCCCGCTTTAGGGGAACACTCCATATCTTTCTACGTCATGTTATTTCCCTGAGGGATTTATTCTAAGTTGTCTGAATGTGAATCAAAGACATTAACTATTTCCCTCTTCTTAGTTCAGCTCTCTGCCTTGTTAGATCTCAGCAATTTTCCAGTAAATAAAAGAAGCAAGGCCACTTCGGCCTGATAGCAAGACCACATCAGAATCAAGGGACCCTTCATAAGGTTATCAGGCATATGCCAAGCATAATGGATTAGGGACTTTGACATTCCTCAGTGGCATGGCCAATGCCGGAGCAATTCATTTTTTTTTACATCCAAGAATAGTGTAAGATAAGAGCTTAAGAAATAGAGTTTTATGATGAAACTCTCCAAGCCATTAAGGAAAATATCTTGATAGATCTCTTCTGGAAATGGAGCTGCTCCATTGGACAAGAAGAGAATGAAACCAAAAAGTTTGAGAGTTTTTGAATCAGGCTGTTTTTGAAAAAAGATTCCAACCCAACCAAACATTTAAAAAAAACTCAGTCGGGAACTGAAACTAGAATAAGAGAAGTCCTTTACTTTGATAAAAGAAGATAGATCAGGTCTGTCTGAAAGAAATAATAATTCAAGGCAACTATTAGACATTTGTCAGCTAGTCAAGCTTGCGGCTTAGATACTAAAAATGTCTCTTGTATAAAATGATTGAGAAGGATCTTATGGATGTTAAACATTTCTGGCAGATGTTGAAGATCTTGACAGATGAAGCAGTCTCTGTATCAGTGGTATTAGCAAAAAAAATCTGGGGACAGTAACTTGATGGATTATCTAGCAATGAGACTTAATGATCTCTTCTTTGAATTATATTTGTCTGAAAAGGACGAAGTTCAAAATTCCAGGCTTGCAAAGTTGAATAAACTAAGTGCAAGTATAATTAAAAGTTTTTTAAATGAACGTTCTAGAAAAAAAAATATTCAGGAAGTTCACAAGTTGAAGCAAATTGAGGAGGAGGCAGTGGTTTGTCAAGTAATTAATCAGATTATTTTACAAAAACAATGCATTTAAGCCTCTCACAGAAGAGTATTTGATACAAATTGGGATTTTCATTTAAGCCTATTTATAAACTAAATAAAATAGGAATAATTTGTACTACTCAGGCTATGAATAAAACTCGAAGAGGTCACCCCGATGCTAGAAGAAGGAATGACCTTAAGATTAAGCCAACCAGATGGCTACAAAATGAAAATCACTGATGAAAGAAGATTTCAACGGAAAGAGGACCAAAAGGGGAAACTATAATAAAATGAATTTGTTAGACTGAATAGTTAAAGATCTAGTACACTATTAATTGGAAAGTTAAGAACAGGGAAATTGACAGTTAAAATCCAGGTAGACTATGCTTTGAAGAGGTTAAGCCGTTGGTAGGCAGGGGAGAGGGGAGAATTTTCTCACTTCAGGTTAGATTTTGAATGGATCATTTGATTCTGTAAATGGGGAATGATAGAATTTAAATATTCTCATGTATGTAACAAGTCCCAAAGTTCTAAGGTTCAAAAATATGTGGAAACTTTGTCATCCATCACATTTTTCCCCTATGGATTTATTTTCTAAGACGAATATTCAATTATATACATGAAATGGAGTTTAGTCTTCCCACTGGCTTACTTTTTTGGGAACATTTGTTTCTTTTTTCATCCCCTTTTATTTATTCTGTCTTACTGGTGGAGAATTCCAGAGTCTATGCAATCTTATCATTTTGGATGGTCTCAAAAAAAACCTTCCCTTGACTTCAATTTTAACGTATTCTGGATTATTCTGTTCCTTTTGCCTTGAAAAAAGTATGTGCTTATTGGTGTGTTTTTGCTTTTATTTCAGGATATCACCTGGCAAGATGAGCATTCTGCTCCTTTTTCTTGGGAAACGAAGGTAACTTTGTGGAATTGTTATATTTGCAAGAATTGTCAGGCTTGTTTCGTTTCAAAACACAGAATGCAGTAATAAACTTCTGCTTTGGGGCCCAGAGATAAATTATGTGTGATCTCATGAAATATAGGTTTCAACAGCAGAAAAATTGTGATTTCTCAAAATAAATTTCAAACAATAATAATGATAAAAAAAATAATTCATTTTACCATTTATCATCTGAGGAACAAATGGAAGTACAAGAAACCCTTGTTTCATGCTCACAATGTGAAATGTATTTGTAGAGACAGAATATAACTGGACCAAAGTCATTGTAAACTGGTCTACTTGTTCAGATATGGAAAGCTAATGACTTTCCAGATGTTGCTGAATAATGCCCCACATCTTTCACCATTAGTCATGCTGGCTGAGATTGCTGGGAGGGATTCAGCAGCACACTTAGCCAGGCAGGTCAGTAATCTGATTTGGAATAAAGTAGTTTTCTATGTTTTTCAGGACCTACACTCTGAATATTGGCTCCAAGTATTGGGTTTGCAGGCATTTTACTTGTTTATGGTCATCAAATCTTGACTTTTGACAAATGCAACTCATAAGCTGGTATTGGAATTTCTCTTCTCTTCATTCTGTTCTGACCTCTGCAAAAGTCTGAAAAAAATGTCTAACCATGCTTAAGAAGGTAGCCCAAAGCTGCAGTGAAACATTTTACACTGTCTTCCTTGTCCCAAAGGTGCTTTTTCAGGAGGCAACTGGACTTTCTTGTTTTTTCTTTTGAAGGCGTTTTGCTTCTTTTTCGAGAAGCATCTTCAGCTCTGACTGGATGGTGGGGAATGGAAGGATTTATATTCCTTGCAGACAGCTGGCAATTAGCATCCTTTTAGAGGGTAGTTGAAGAACTTGGAGGTTTATCTGTGTCCTGGTTCTGAATATAAATATAAATCCTTCCATTCCCCACTGTCCTGTCAGAGCTGAAGAAGCTTCTTGGATGAGAAGAGAAGCGAAATGTCTTCAAAAGAAAAAACAAGAAAGTCCCATTGCCTCCTGAAAAAGCACCTTTGGGACAACCACAACCAGGATGACTGAGAATCTCTACAGAGTGCCTTCCTTGTTTTTCTAGGTGAAATTGTGATTGAAAGACCATTCCATGTAATGCAGGGCATTCTTCGAATTGACCATTGGAGTCCCAAATATTGCTTTCCTGTTTTATTCTCTCCCTCCATCTTTGATAAATAGAATTGTATATACATGAGCTCTATGGCTAGCGCTGTTCCATTTTCTTTCTTCTGCTCGACCGGCATTAATTTTGCTCGAGGAAAAAGGCACAACACATTTCAAATTCTAGAACCAAATTGTATATTACAAGCAGTCACATGCTTTCTGCTGAAGATTAGTTTCCTAGAATATTCTAAGTAATAATTTAGGTGTAAAGAATAGAAACATGGTAAGGAAGAGGCTGTAAGTCACTCTTTGCCCTTTATGTCTTATTGCAACGGTTAGCCTCATTTGAGTACTTCAGAATCATATATAAAGTTCTGAAACATGGAGGTTGGGAGATAAAGAATTATAATTACTTTTTAACTTTATTTGGCAAACCTACTGTATTAGTAAATCAACGTCTTCTGAATAAGTCTGTCCAAAAACGCATTGGTGTCAGTCTGTCTGTCTGTGCCTGTCTGTGTTTTTTGCTGATATATTTTGCTGATTGCCTTTTGTTTCTTGACAGTAATCATTTGTCTTTACAGCTCTCCCAACACAGCCCTTGGCAGCTGGTTTTTGAGTGTAGATTTATGTTGGAGAAAATGATGCTTTAAAATGAGATGAAATAATGCTTCAAATGTGAAATGGACACACTGATTTTAAAATTGACTCTCTTGTTCCTCGGCAGGACTTAGCTGGATGAAGATTATGTGAACTGTAGCTGAAGCAATCCAGAGGACCCCACTTTGGGGTCCTCTGGATTGCTTCAGCTACAGTTCACATAATCCTCAGCCATTATGGCAAAGGCTCCCCATATAACCCAGTGAACGCAGGATCAGGTAGCAAATGATCCTCTTAACCCTGGATCTTCTGTTTCTCTCTGCCCTCCCAGTGTAGCAAGTTCTGACGACTACAAAGAGTGGAAACCAGTAGTGGGATTCAGTCAGTTCGGACCGGTTCAGGCAAATCAGATATTAATTTTAATCTGGTTCGCTGAACCGGTAGTTACAAGGGCCGACTGACCCTGCCCACCCCGCCCCGCCCCTCCCAGGAGTCTCCACGTGGCCTTTTCATCATGCCAGGTAAGTTCAGGGCCCTCACGGAGACTCTGGGAGGGCGAAAAATAGGCCTTCCAGAAGTCCGGAAGCTGGTCCATTTCCAGCCTATGGAGGACTTTTTCACCCTCCCAGAAGCTCAAAGAAAGCACCTGGAACCTGGGGAGGGCGAAAATCCGCCCCACTGCCGCCGTGGTGCAGGAAGCTGACGAGGCCAAGCCCCCAAGGCCATGTCCACCCAGCAATCAGGCAGAGAACTGGTTGCTAAAGTTTTTCAATCCCACCCTGGTGGCAACCCAAGAAGATCTGGAGGGAAACGTCTGCTGATCATACATGAATAATGATAGCAAGTGCATTTTTTATGTTTTTGCATAAATAGGGCATCAACATAATCTGTTCTTCCTACAACTAGATAACAAAATCCAATTTAAAAATGAGTCAAAAACACATTATACTTGTTCATATATTTATTGAGGAAATGATCCAAAGCTTCATATTTGTGTGCAGCAAAAAGTATGTGAACCTTTGCTTTCAGTAACTCGTGTGGCTCCCTTGGGCAGCAATAGCTGCAACTATATGTTTCCATTAGTTGTTCATCAGTCCTGCACATCAAGCTTGGAGGAAATTTATCCCTCCTTACAAAACAGCTCCATCCATGGATGTTCAAACAAAAAGTTTGAAGCAAAGCATTTTAAGAACCACAGTGTATCCTTATGTAAACCTCCTCCATTTTTCCATGTACATATTCTTTTTTGGAATGCAAACTTTTTTTCTGATTGCCTTGGCAAAAACATACGCAGAGTGACTAAACACAAGAAAACTTAATGAAATAGGAAGACAGATAATTGCATGTTTTTTATATTGTTTTAAAAACTTAAATGTAGTATTTACGTTCCTATATATATGGAATACCATCGTTATGGATTTCAGTCTTGTCTTATTTTTTCTGTCCATTCCTTTGGCAATGGAAGGGAGAATTCTTGGAGCAGTTCAGTTTATAGTTCTAAATAAAAAATAGTTTGAAGAGTTACACCATCACCAGGAACATAGTTGACTAAACTCCTCAAGGGCCTTATCTTTGGTACAAACAGAAATTCTTAATTGCTGGAGGAAGTAGGCTAGGTTCATTTAAGTTGCTTAATTGTGAACTTAGATCAACGAAACACAAGTGCTATGTTCGCTTAATGTGCTTTGCTGAAAAAATATTATGGTTTAATAAAGTGGTTTGCTTCAAGACAGCACATAAAACAATAGTTGTCTGCCACCGAATCACAGACTATTTAATCCCATCTTAGACAAGTTTAAGGCACTGAGTAAATGCAACCATAGAACAGCTTTCTCTTGCAATATGGACTCCCAAGAGTATCAATGCAGCCTGCTGTGGGTTCTTATTTAATGACTCTTGGATATAATTTTGCTTTGTGGAAGTCTAGGTTCTGCTTAAGGTTAGGGCTTTTGAACATTTTTATAAGCTCCTGTCCTTCAGGTTTTGTTTTACTTTCTCCTCCACCCCCATATTTCTCTTCTGTTTTGCAGTTGCCAAGCCAAATAGCTTGTTTTGGCTCTGCACGCTATCTACTTCATGAAATACTCTACATTCCCCACAAGCGCATAACATATAAAAATAGCTCTTTGGATTCTTGTGGTATTCTCTGGTTTTAGTTCAGAGTTGAGTATGTGTCAGTTCAGATCCAGCTTGATTCAGCATGATGGGAGTCAGCCTTATAATGCAACTCATACATGCTGGAAGGGATGGCAATGATTGGATATGGGGCCTGCAGGGCAACTTCTGAAGGAGAGAGAGTGCAACTTCCACAATCTTTTCTTTTGATCCATGGAGCATCTTTCCCAGCTTGGGCATCATCTCGATAAGTCTGGCCAGTTTTGGGAAATAGGAGAAACTGCAAGAACCTAGTGTCTAGGTTGTTGAAGACTGTGATACAGCTGATGAAAAATATTCAGCCATGAAGTGAATTTAATAAAATTTCCTGGGAGAAGTAAGACCTTCACATATATTTCTTCCATGATGATCAAGCCAGGATATAAACCAGGAGTCAGCAACCTGCACTCTGGAGCCACATGTGGCTCTTTCATCCCTCTGCTGTGGCTCCCTATTGTCAGTCGGTGCCACAATTTTGAGAGGAGCTTCCAGTTGGCGGGGGGAGCACAGTGTGCCAGGAGGAGACTCTATGATTTTCTGGTTGGCTCCACAATTGATAGGGCTTTCAGTTAGAACAGGTAGAGAAAAAAAGATACTGCGCTAGGAGGAGACTCTATGGTGGGAGAAACAGACTTCCGGTCAGCTCCAGAATTTAACTGGGAGCATCTGGTTAGGACCTTTGTGGCTCTTTGAGTATTTAAGGTTGCCGATTTCTGATATAAACAAATGTCATTGATGGTGTGATTAAAAAATTTGAGGGTAGCAAAAGGGTTTTTTTTGGCTTAGAACACCCTTCCCTACCTGAATGCCTCTGAGTTATATGGATTTAGGCTTCCAGGATGTCCCAGCTGTTCTGATAATTGCTGAGAATTCTAGAAAATGATGTTGTTGTTGTCGTCCCTCATCGCAAGTGTCCCAGGGATGATGAAAGCAGGTCTAGGAATTCTAGAAAATGTCTTAATGGACAAAGCTGCACTTAGCATTTGTGAATGGAGTTAAAGCTGCAATAGACAGGACACATTATGAATTATTGGAATTATTGGAACCGTGTTACATGCATGGGCAGGAATGAGATTTCCAGAAATTGGATTGGAGTTTTGGGAGGAGGTTGGACATAATCTTTGTTTTTTTAATTGCATTGTTATACACTACGGTTTTGTGCTTCCTTGCTTGTGCAACAACTGGCATTTGACATTATGTTTGGATGGGATTGCCATGGAAGAAAATTTGAGAAGGAGGGAGTTGTGTGCATCCTAGAACTTTAGGTTACTGTAGGAGATGACAAGGCTAGCCGAAGGAGGGGTGAAACGCATCATCAGTCACGAGTCCCTTTGTACCCACAAGAGATCTAATTCTAGCCCACCTTGAATTCCTTCTATTCTTCTCCCCCCCACCCCACCCCTAATTTCCCTTAGCCGTTAGTAGTTTAGATACTTGTAGAGAGCTTAAGCAATAAATCTATATACCCATTTGAACTGTCTGGATCTCCTGATTTTCCTGGTAATACTAATCAAGTATTAGGATTTAATCTTAACTACTGAATGGATATTTAATTTCGCAAAGTTGGGAAGGAAATATGTTTTGTGTTGTCTTTTGGATTGGGGAAATAGATGAAGTATTCAAGATGGTTTTTGACATGACTGAGCATGCTTACATTTTAAAAAGTTGTCTCTTAAAATATGAAAGGAAGGATTTAAATTCTTAGTGAAATAAAAGTATGGGTTGGGAATTTTAAATTTAAATGTTGTATATCCAGACTAAATCGCTTGTCTAAATATTCTAACAATATTTCTCCCATCTCCTTGTCCCGGTCTAAACATAGACTGTTATTCCATAGCAGAGCTCTTAGTGACTATTTTTTTTTCTTTTTTAAAAAAAAATAGCATCCTGGTCTGGCCAGAAAATTCATGTAGCAAGATATATATATTGCCTTGAACCCACAGGAATGGTTTGTGTGAGAGGAAATGACTTTCAGATATCTTGGATCAAGACTATACTTCTGGGAGAGCATGATGGATGAGAAAGAACTTCTACAGTAACTTTTGACCAGGCAGAGTCGTTGAGAGCTGTTTTGTCTTTTTAAATTTTACTGTTGTGGTTTTTTTTCCCCCTTGTCCAGAGCCACTAAATTATTGTTTCCATTTGAACATTTTCTACATTTTTTTGCATCATGATAACAACTCTTAAGGAATGTGTATTTTGTACTTAAAGAATTCCGGGTGGGCAACTCTTATTTCTCAATAGCCTTACTCAGTATAATCATTGACAAAGGATTATGCAATCCGGCAACATCTGGAAGGCAGTATGTTGCTGACCTCTGATTTTGGTCATTCTTCAAAGTAAGCAAATGGTTTAAATGTTTCGACCTCTTTTCTGACAAAACTTTGCCTATGTTTTTCGCCAGCAAAGAAGTGGGGAAAATGTTTCTTTCCTCCAAGTTAGCCTAGAATAAAGAGTTGTTCTGCATCATTTGCACCACTGGAGAATTACCATTTTTACCGCCAAGTGTAAGATTCCTTACCGTAGAAACATCAGTACTCGGTATAAGATGCCAAAGAATGTTTATAGCTGAAAGGAACTACTCCCTTGTCTTATTTGAACGACTAGTTGTCCACAGAAAAGAACTAATGTTCATTTTTTTAAAACTTTTAATTCCCTAACAGAGTCAAATGGAATTCAGTATTGCTTCTCTGTTGATCCAAGAGCCGGGGGCTGCAGCACCTCAGCACGAACAGAAACAGCCTAGCAAAACCGCACCTGGCCCCCCAGCTCCCAAACCTTCCCAGGGTGGTAAACCTCAAAACTCAGATGGGCTTATACCAGCCAAAAAAGAAGAGGAGTCCTCATTTTGGAAGATCAATGCTGAGCGCTCCAAATACGAAGGGGAACAGTCTGAGTTCCATTCGCTAACCCCAAGCCAAATTAAATCCATGGAGAAAGGAGAGAAAAACCTCCAGCCTTATTACAGGCAAGAATCTGGTCCAAAAGAAGCAAGTAAAGCAGAGAAGCCTAGTGCTCCTAAGCCTGAAAAAGCGATCGCCCCAGTTGTTCCCACCACACCTGTAGAATGGGAAAAGCCTCTGTCCAGCCAACCTGCAGTTAGTGCCTTTGATGCTCATTCTGACCCTGCAGAGAAATTGTCATCTGCTGCAACCCAAAAGGAAGATGCCCAAAGCAATTTTGTTCCAGATTTACAAGGATTTGGCCAGGTAAGAAGGGGCTGATTCTTAGTTGTCTGTCCTGTTACCGTATGAGAGGTAGAAAGAACATAAGCAAAAGTAAACAAATAAAAATAACAACAACAACACTGAGTCCAGGAAAATGAGTTCTGTTAGAGCAGGGATGTCTGGCAACTCGTGGGCCCGATGCGTCTCACACACAAGCCACACCCACAGCAGCTTCACGAAGAGATAAAAACGTTGCAAAATATCACGTGATGGCAACGTGACGGGCCGAGTTTGACACACGTGTGTTAGGCTATTAAAACCTTACAACTGAAATCCTTTGTTTTCCTCCCGGAGAAGATCAGAGGTTAAAAATCTAAGATGGGAACATCACTGTTTCATGTCTTTAAAATGTGCAGCATATGCTAGTAATAGATCGCCTGAAGCCCTGCATGCTGTTTCATAAACATAAACTTGATTGCCTTCTGATTGCCTGCAAATGTGACATTTGTAGCAGCAGCTCCAGTGTGCAGAGGGTGTCTAACACAGGCAGTGGAAGAGGGTAGATTTTTCCATTCGTGAGGGTAGAATCCAAAACTGAGTATGAAGAGCTCCTCTTAAAGGGAATGGGTGTGCTGCAACCAGATGAGCATCTCTTCTACTTAATTACATGTAAAATAATGCACTTTAGGATACATGCACAAGGTCCGAGTTTTCTGTAACTAAAACAGGAAAAGGATATGGGGATTGAGGGTGTACGTCAAAATCAGTAACTCAGTGAAGATGCCAATTTGGTGCATGGTAGCTATAAAAAAGACACATTTCATGTCATGTTCAGGATTATTGTGAAAGGAGTTGAAAGTAAAACTGCTGGCAATGTAATGCCCTCTTTGCTAATCTAACAAGCATTCACACCTGGAATATAAAGTAGAATGCATTTGAAAAAGGACATAATAGAGTTGGGAAAGGTGCAGAAGAGGGCAGCCAACATGGAAAGGGGACCTAAATATCTGCCTATGAGAAAACGATGGGACTCTTTATCTTGGAGAAAAGGTGAAGGGCAGAGGACATGATTGAGGTGCATAAAATCATTAAAAATATAAAAATAAGTAAAATATAAAAGCAAGGAGAAAGTAGACAAGAGTGTTCAAACACTTGAATCTTAGATCATCCAATGAAGTGTATTAGAAGAATTTTAGAAATGCAAAAAAGGAAGCACTTTTTCCACACCATAACTAGTAACTTTCATGACCTGAAGATCTACCCATGGCTAGTGGCTTTGAAAGAGCTGGATGAAATCCTGGACAAGTCTTGCACAGGCAGTTGGTCTTATTCCTGGATTGAGAGGAGGAGTCATCCAAATGCTGCTTGCAGAGAACAGCAGTTTGGGAGGGGCATTTTAAAGGTGCTCAGAGTTGCATTGTTTGAGTTGGGCAACTATATACATTCTTTGAATAAATAAAAATGAATCTAGAAATCTATGTCTCTATCTTTTTGTTGATTACTAAGAGAAACAAAATGCTCACCTAAGATAGGCCTTGGCATGATCTTGCAAAGCTATTATTAAATTGAGATGTGCATGAACAGGTAAGAACTAATTGTACTTGTACGATGGATTTGTGTGTAGAATTACTTCTGTACCTTAGAACTTTGTTATTTCTAGCCTACATTATACCTCACTTATAAAATCTGTTTAATGGTTGAAGGAACAAAGAGATGACCAATCCTCTCCCTACTCCTTTTATGGAAATGGTTCTTTAAGGGACTAGTTGCTTGAAGGGTAAAGTGGAATAATGTGGGAATTATTGGTACTTGGTTTTGGATAACCCAGCCTCTCCGATCATACAAATATTCCTACATATCTCCCATTAAATTTAAATATTGTTTGGGTAGCATTTCTGGTAACTGGAACCTTCCGAGAAAGTTCAGAGAAAAGCCAATCATAATCTGAATATCTAAAACAGCAGAATATTTGAGCACAGCCATATATGGCTGTGGGCCACTGTGCATCAAACCTGGGAAACGTTTGATAGTTCTTTCTGCCAAACAGGATATATGAAATTCCGTTCTAGCTGGTAATAGGGGAGAGGCAATTCTTTCATGAGGCTTCCCTCATTTTGGCCAGCCTTCTAGAGGAAATGTTTGGCAATCCATAAGCTAGTCAGAATGGAGACACAACCATTGAAAACCCATTGGTGGTTTTCTGGTGGAAACACTTTGTGGAATCAAAAGCCTTCCTAATGCAGCATAGACCCAAACCATTGTACCATATTGTCATTTTTGCCTTAGCTGTTCCTGTTTTTGCACCCTTTTGAGTTGTAACTACTTGCTTTCTTTTCTAAAACAATTTTTCTTTCTTTTTTTCCACAGAGTAATGCAAATAATGCTATCCTGAAGACAGGATTTGATTTTCTGGACAATTGGTAGACAAAAACAATCCTTCAGTTGGTTTTGGAGAAAGATAAAAGAGCATCTCTCTCTCCATTTTGTCTTTTGGTTTCTGTTACTGGTTTTTCTGTGTGTTTTTTAAACTTTTTCCCGGTTCTTTTTTAATGTTGCCCTTTGTACTAATACTTTTTTGTAAAAACCTGATGAGTATTTGTATTTTGAAGTGAGCCAGTGTTAGAAGGGTGGGCAGGTTTTTTGGTCTTTTATTAATTGCAATTCTGCACATTACATTTGATGATCAACAAAGAATATCTTGCCTAATATTTGTATGTATGCTAAGGAAAAAGTGTGCAATCTATTTAGAGAGCAAATGAAGCCATCTGATAGAATACCCATATTTATTTTACACATGAATGCCAACAGCTAATTGGCCACCATCTGTATACATTTGTTACAAGAAGATAACTTTATATCAAGCACAGATAGATTTTAATATCATCTGTCAGAGCCTTGGCCGGTATGTTCTAGGTTCTGAAATTAGTGGTCCAAAACATTTTGTGAACACCATATGGTCTTTTCCTAATAGATGGAAGCACAGAGTCCAAAGACTAAAATTTAGCACATCTCTTTCAAATTTATTGTGCAGGATATAAATCTGCAGACATCTACATGCTTATTTTTACATTAGCCTATGACCCTTGACTCAGTTGGGGGGGGGGGGGATCAAGCAGCTTTAGCTAATGAGGTGCGCGCTGGGAGGGTGTGTATATTTTTGTTTGTTTTCTTTCTGTGAAATGAGGCCCAATTGGTACACAAAACAGGATCGTTTGTTAAAAATAAAACATTTAATGAAATGTATTTAATATGTTTTAATATAAAACATCAAAGGAGAAGAAAGAGGCTAGCTTAGAGAAATAAATATGTGGCTGGAGCTGCCTTTTACTGATTAAAAACCATTTGGTAAAGGGATCTTCAGAAGAAACATAACATGAAAAATAATTAATTTGTTTGATCTCTTTTGGCCTAGCAGAACTGAACTTCATTTTGAAATTTAGCTCATTTCCTTTACCCTCACCCCTGGTGTTAAATTTCTTCAACATATTTACTGCAAGGCATTCTGATGCTTTCTTTAAAAACAAAACATTGTATTAAAATATATATATTTCATGAGATTTCTGATTCCTGGTACATAGTGTGAATAGGATCTGAATGTATCATAAAGATCCTGTTGTATTAGATTTTCTGTTGTTTCAATATTACACAGAAACTATTTTTCATGGAGAAACACTTTAATGATGACATCCCTCGCCTGCACCTTGGAGTGGTCCAGCATACCACCTTCTTTGGCTGCACACACAGAGACCAGCCTAGTCCAGCATCTGCAGCATCCAGAAATAGTTAATGCAACTGTCATTGCATTTCTGTAACTTTAAACAGTATTTCTCTCCCCATCACCTTCAAGCCTTAATTCCCCTTTCTGCACAAATTGTAATTTCTTCAACCAAATACCAAAGGTTATTGAATTTCTGCTTTTGACCTTGAGAATCGATTTCCTGGGAGATGACCCAATAATAGAGATACACTGTGCATGTGTACCTCTGATGCTATACGGAATTCTTACAAAGCCTATTTGGGCACTGTATCTGTTGTCAGGCTGGCTAATTGTAGCCTTCTTACATACTAGCCACCAGATAAGTGGTTCCACTTTCAGAGTTGTCCATTGTCCATACCTATGAGTGGTGTGAACTGAAAATACACTTCTCTACAAATCGTGTGTTGTTCTGTTTTATTTCAGATTACTTCCTGTTCCTTCTGCTGCTTATATATACTCATTAACAATGTTTATGACAAAAGTTAAGAGGTTTATTCTGAATCTTGCCCTGAAAGATATAATGGAAAATAAGACTGGATAGTCTTTGAATTCAGTTCCAAAAATCACGCTTTGCAATGTGTGGAGGTCAGAATATATAGCACGGATATATGCAGCTGTCCCTCACAGACTGGAGCACCAATTTGGAATCTGAAACAAAGCATTGCACATTTCTAGAAAATAATAAAACAGAATTAATTGCAGAGAACACTAAAGAAAATGCTCTTTTTCAGGAGTATTTTATTTGCCATCACACAAACACACACACTGGGATATTTGTCCTGAAGATGGGAGCAGAAGGTGGCATCTTATCTTCAGATGCTTCACTTTGTCTTAAGATATTTGGATTAATTGGTTCTTAGTAACTAGCACCACATTTCTTACTGTGGAGATGTTGCTTTGGGCTTCCTGGTGCACACTTACACTGCAGCACAATTATTAGTACCATATAAGAGTCCATTGAATTGGGGAAGCAGATGTAGATAACTGACATTTTTGGAATGGCTTAACTTTTGCTACTCAAGAGGGAAGATTTTCATTAATGAAAATAAGTGCCTGACACATGATGGCATCCTGTTTGTTGCCCTGTTTCGATATATTTAACAATACCGTACTTTAAAAAAAAGACCAGAAGGTTTTTATTTAAGAAAAGAGTATTTGATACTTGAAAAAGAAACCAGTCTTTAAAAAGGAATTGACAAAGTCCTTCAAGCTGAAGACATTTCTGCAGTGTATTTTGGGATTATAAAAAGGGAGGCTTTTCCAATGTTGTCAGCCAGAGCTCAACAGTATAAAGCGCTTTTCCAGCGCAGGGTCTCTTGTTCAAGTTAACCAATTAAAAAATTAAATAAGTGCAGTTTGGTTTGACTAGAGCTTTCCGTTTATATGTTAGTGGATGGGGGTTAATGTCCTGATGTCATTGAAGCAACATTTTTAGTTTGCTGCTATTAGGCAATGAAATTGGGCCTAATCCTTGTGTATCTATCTCCAATCCTGTTTACCTTAATGAAATTTTTGCAAGGGACTTCTGGATGAATTTTACTCTTTGGAACACTGTATATTGCCTTTCTTTTCAATATAGTTTCATGGATAAACCTGATGTTTCTCCCTTTCGTATATGTTTTTATTGAGATTTTATTCACAATTGTATATGGCTACAATTCATATCTGATTCTTAATTAAAATCACCTGACATGGACCACTGATGGTTTAACTTTGTTTTTCTGTCTGTCTGTCTCTCCCTTATTTATAGTCACGTTCTATTTGTGTTGTGATTAGTACCATGTGAGCCTCTCAAAGTCCCTTGTAAATCTTTGGGTGCATTAGCACTTTTGAGTCGAGAATTAGTTTGTAAGTGAAATATTGCCAACTCTGTGGAACACAATTTCTGCAGGAGCTTCTCATATCCATCAGACCAATGAAAGTAGGGTCCTGTCATGAGACTCACACCTTTGGGAACATGCTAGCCGTGTTGTGATACATGGTTGTTGTTTTTTTTAAACGGGGCTTGTATCATAGTGGTCTGAAGTGGTATAGGGTTTCCTGCCTAAGCAGGGGGTTGGACTAGAAGACCTCCAAGGTCCCTTCCAAATCTATTATATTCTATAGCACTAGTGCTGCTTTCATCAGTCTTATCCCCTTTCCCCACTGGACACCACTAACTATAGAATTTTTTTTGTATTATCTTGTTAATAGTGGGTAAGTTTGAGCTAAAGTTAATTCTAAACACTATCCTACAATATTTTTTATAGAAAATGATCTGATTACTGGATATGAAATACAGTGTGTAGTAATTTTTCAGTGGCAAAATCTCAGCATATGTCCCTTTTTTCATTGACCCTTGTGTTGTTTCAACATGAAAGTCACAGCTAGAACTGTGTTCATGCCACCATTATGCTTTATGATCTCTCTCTCTCTCTCTCTCTCTCTCTCTCTCTCTCTCTCTCCCTCCCTCCCTCCCTCTCCCTCTCCCTCTCCCTCTCTTTCTCTTTCTCTCTGTCTCTCTCTCACACACACATAATGATATAACCAAATATGACTTCACATTTCAAAATATTTAGCATACCTCTGGGATTCAATAATTAAAACACATAATTTACTTTCAGTGTAGTCCCTACCTAGAGATCCTAGCTTGTATGGAAGACCATGAGCCTGCTTGAAGAGAAACTTGGCTTTGATTGAGTGTGTGGGATACATCCTAAAATGTGCCTGAACTATGTATTTTCAGTACAATGAGGATGTTATTGCAGGTGGCACAATTACAGGTAAGCTTGTCTGCACCAATCTTGCTCAAAAGAATTATATGAAAACTGCAACATATTAAAGCCACAACTATATGTCATTCATGTATTTTCTAAGAAAAAGCTTTATGGCCTCGTGGACCCATAAATACTGGCCATGCACAAAATCAATAGTTTGAAGACCTATGCTTTGCCTGTCTCTTTTCCATAGACATACACAATATTTGTAATCTATCCATCTATGGATCATGTCTGCTCATGATCGTATCTAGGCGAGCCCTCATGACCTATCTCTTTAGGGTTGGATTGATTCATGGAGTCACGGAGAACAATTAGCCACAACAACTGTGATATTGCTTCTATAGGCCATATGTTGGGAGAGTGTTGGGCTTCTCTGTGCAGTTAGTTGGGCCACTATGAGAACAGCCAGTTGAATTAGATGGGCCAAGAGTAGAAGGGTCTAATCCAGTAGGACACTTTTATATTATGCCCTTTTTTCTACCTAGCAATAGCCAATTTTAAAATGAAAAGTCATTACCAACCTTCACATAGCAAGCATTTGCATTCCTCTTCAATCCATATTGATGTCCGGTTATTTTAATGCTTGGACAATGAAGTCCAGAGGGAGATTAAAGGTAAACCAGAATTGTGAGGAAAACAAGATAGAGGTAGAGATAGTCTCTACAAAGATTAATGACTTAACTATGAAGAAGCTTAAAAATAAAAATCAAAAACTGTTGCCAAGAAGACAAATTGGGAGTCAAACAAACATTGAAGTTAGTGCACAACTAAACTTTCTTAAAAGATGCGTTCTGGAATTAAAGTTCTGATTAATGACAATCATCTGTTCTTTTCAACAGATGGGGCCAGACTTTGCCTTAATAAGAATACAGACACACATACGTAGTCAGCAAACCTCACATCAAAGTATGCAGACTTTTCCTCTAGTGTCTATAAATAGATTGGACTCCTTTTGTTCTGAGTTTCTATAGAAGCATCCATCTATGAATTTAGCACATTACCAATCATGAAAATAACATTAGTGGTAATGGTAGTGGAAAGAACCCAGACAGACTTTTGCTTACATTAGGAGAAGACAAGGTTGATTTTATCTATCAGCTTAAATTTCTTGGCAACTGTTTAGCCTCTCAACAGTAAAAACAGAATTTCCAGCTACACTTTTTGTGCCCAGAATTAGAATGGGAATTTCCATGGTTCACTGGGAAAGCAGAGACTGCCTAATACTGCAGAAAGTTCTGTATTTGATCATGAATATGCCTGGGCAGCCAATCAGACTGGTGTTAGGAAAGACCTTCACTGAGATTTTAAAGATTTAATGCCTATCATATTAAATAATAGTGCCCTAAATTCACAATCTAAGCCATTGTAAAGCATTTGCCTTTTATTCCTTATTAAGTATTTTTGGCTTGTATTGATTCAAATCTCTGAAGTTTTTGCTAATACCTGATTATTTGGAGGACTTGTCTCAACAGAAAGAGCCGAGGTGGCGCAGTGGTTAGGGTGCAGTACTGCAGCCCACTTCAGCTGACTGTTATCTGCAGTTCAGCGGTTCTAATCTCACCGGCTCAAGGTTGACTCAGCCTTCCATCCTTCCGAGGTGGGTGAAATGAGGACCCAGACTGTGGGGGCGATATGCTGACTCTGTAAACCGCTTAGAGAGGGCTGAAAGCCCTATGAAGCGGTATATAAGTCTAACTGCTATTGCTAACTTCAAACAGAATGTTGCCTCTAATGCACAACAGTGTCAGTATAATCATATCACCCACATCTTGATGGCTCAAGATGGACCAGTTGCTTTGGTTATTTCAAAAAAGCCTGAGATACTTTCATCTCTGATGGAATTGATATCCAATGTTGATAAACCCACCTTGTATTTGCATTGAAAACTAAATAATGTTTGTCAAATTGTATTAATAACACAATTGATGGACTAAATAGCATAGCATAGCATAGCATAGAATAGAATAGAATAGAATAGAATAGAATTCTCTATTGGCCAAGTGTGATTGGACACACAAGGAATTTGCTCTCAATGTACATAAAGAAAAATAAAATACATTCATCAAGAATCATAAGATACAATACTTAGTGATAGTCATAGATTACTAATAAGCAATCAAATTATACTAGGAAACAAAGCAATATAAAATTTAAAGATACAATGGTATCTTTAATGGTACATTGACAATCTTAAAATAATCTCAAATTGATTTCTTCAGTTTTAAGATTCAAACTGATTCATCAAAAGATTTCATTTTAAGTTTACTGGACATCCCAAAAATGTATTTAAAAGAATGGTCATCAGATTTTCTTTGATGGTGATGTAAAAATAAATATGCAGTCATTAAATCATTTGATTTGGTAAACCATACATTCTAGATGTAAATTAACAGAAAAAGTTAGATGAGACTCTGAAAAAACGAGTACTCTTTGTTAAGGACTCTGTGTTAAATAGAGAATTTCAGGATAATTTTTTTTTACCTGGATAAGGCAGCAAAGCAGCCAGACCTCTATTTGGAGAGGACTAAATGTATTTTAGCTTTCCATACATTGGTATGTATAGGTTAAACTACACCCATTCTACATAAGGCAGCATTTTAGACCACTTTGTGTTTATGTATGTGAGACAAAGAGAAATATTTCCCATTACTAATCCCAACCCCCAGCAATAATGATCCTGATGCCCAGAAAAATCAATTGAGTTTATAATTCTGGACCTTCTCAGTCATCCAGGTCCTTGTTGCCCCAAAGGTTCATTTTCAAAAAAGCAACTAGACATTCTTTGTTTTTTTTCTTTGAAGATGTTTCACTTTTCATCCAAGAAGCTTCTTCAGTTCTGAAGTTCTGAATGGTGGGAATGGAAGGATTTCACTACAGCCTTCCACCAATCTGGACTTTATGGCAGAGTGAGTAGATGGAAGCCTCTCCTCAGTGCAAAACACATGAAAGCTCACTTAGAGTTTGTTCCTCACAGTTTGAGAGTCCTTCAGGTGCTTTTTTTTTTTTGCAAGCGCCAAGCAAGCTTTATGTGTTTTGCACTGAGGAGAAGCTTCCGTCTAGCCACTGTGCTATAAAGGCCAGAATGATGGAGGGATGCAGTGATGGTTGCCCTTCTGGAATTATGTCCTATCTCCACATAGGATCATTGGAGCTCAGCCAGAGTGACCATCAGGTTCTTAGTCACTTCTCTTATTAAGGTCCTTCTCTTTTGGTTGCTTAGCTTGACCAGGCAATGAGCTCTTGGAAGAGTCCTGGAGGCCACTGTGCTCTTAGGAACTTTCAATGCAGCAGAATTTTTATTGTAGCTTTCCCCAGATCTCTGCCTTGCAATACTCCTTTCTCTGAGCTCTGCAGGCAGTTTTTTGACCTCATGGCTTTTGCTCTGCTACAGTATGCATTGTCAATTGTGACGCCTTCTATAGAGAGGTGTGTGTCTTTCCAAATCATGTCCAATCCATTTAATTTACCACAGGTGGACTCCAGTCAAGCTGTAGAAACATGTCAGCAACAATCAAGATAAATGGGAGGCACCAGAGCTAAATTTCACGAGTTGTTGCAAACAGTCTGAATGTCAATTTGATATTTCAGGTTTTTCTTTTTAATAAAATTACAGACATTTCTAAAATTCTGTTTTCACTTTGTCATTATGAATGTAGATTTATTAGGAGAAAAAAAATGGATTTCAACAACTGCAGAATCAGGCAGCAGCATAACAGAATCGACAAAAGTGAAGGGGATCTGAATATTTTCTGAATGTACTGTAAGTGCAAAAAACTTATAAAAAGTCATGAGTCACTTTTTTTACTAACTTTAAATGGTCACTAAATGAACTGTTGTAAGTTGAGGACTATCTGTATTACAGAGTCAGGTAATTCCC